CACAGTGCTATACCATCTTTGCAGTGCATCCCGGTATTTCGAGAACAAGCTGTGGTTTACATAATAGTGAAGACCGGGAATTGCGAGAAATAACATAACCACAGTGCAAGTTACTTTACGCCAGCCCACTATTATTATTATTATTATTATTATTATTATTATTATTATTATTAGGCTATAGCACTGAAATCGCCTGGGTAGTTAAATGATGTTGCACTTAACCTTCATCTACTTTTTCACCCCTATCCCCTTAAAGGTTGGTGTAAATGTAATTATATTCATTTTGCTGTCATTTGGACACGACTATGTTTTTAAAGGCACCATCATCATAAATGAAAAGAAATTGCAGTTCTTATTCTAGAACTTACAGGTTAATAATTATAATAATAATAACATCAATTGATTTAAAACGCTGCATGGTCATATTTGGTAGATTTGCACAGTGCTATCTGCCAAAAGCGAACAACATTTTTCTGAACATGAAAATCATAAGAAGGGTTTTTATTTCAACAGAGGATTATGACCAGTTTCCGTAGTTTTGCTCAGATGTGTTCCCTGCTATATAAAGCCACGATAGGGGCCTACAATGGTTTCTTCTCTAACACAATGATTCTGAACACTCGTCTACGTTCTAGTACGTTTACTTGTTCTGAAAAGCGCTGAGCATTTTAGCCTAGTGCCATGTCACCTTTATCTGCCTCTTATAAATCCTGGTTGACATGTGCGAAATAACCCGTATTTTTATGACCGCACATTGTCTGGATTGACATGATAATAACGCAACACAAAAGATGTTTACATGTTGCTTTGGGAGCATAAACGTCACGAACCGCCATATTTATTTACTCATGAATATTCATAAGGTCACCTGTAAACTGTCGAAAACTTCTGAACACAGCAAGCGGGTTCTTGCTGTCAATTTGTCTATGTTTTAAGTTGATTTTTGTTCCAATAACTGTGGTATTTATAACATATACTTGGAATACACAATGTTACGGTAACTGGATTTGAGAAATGAGGCGAAAGAAGGAACCGGGCAAAGAAAGAAGCATGTCGCGGACACCTGAATTACATAGTTATGGCGGACATGCCCCTTTCAGAATGACCTCCTCGTCCAGGAAGAAGTTTACAGAAACATTGCTGATTTTAGTCGTACTATGCGGTTTATGTATCGCTAATACACGTGGTATGTATGTGTGAAGTCGTTGTTTCAGCAAAGCAACTTAGCTTGGTCAGCTTATATAACAATCACTTGTACAGTACCAGCAGTCCCAGTATTGTCACACATGATTAAGTACACTACCTGTATATAAAGTACAACTAGTTTCAGGCAGCAGGTTTTCTTGAGACGTAGTATGATTTCTGCATTTCTGTGCGTAGTTTGTTTTGATATTACTGCCTTTAGTAAGTTTCTAGCTTATAATCCAGATTCAGTATTTTATGCTTTGGGTATAATACGTACATGTATGCACAACTTTTAACACATTGCCATCTGACTCTATTGTATAATGGGAAGCCATTGCAGATTTCACTTAAGGACTCTGCAGCACCTTGTGTAATACTTTGCTAACTCATGCTTCATTGCAACGGTTGCATAACTGTACCATATTATAAACTTTCAATTTATTGTGCATGCAGTGAGTAATAAAATTAATTGTAAATTTAGCACAAAGATTCCTGCATTAGCACTTATGTGTAGTTTCTGATTTGTATATATATATATTTGTGCTAACAAACACATTTGTGTTTTCACAAAAAAATATACAGCAGAAATCACAAATAAAAATTATCAGTCAACACATGTAATATGCACTTATGGCCAATTATCAATAATTCAAGGATAACTGATGGTGGCAGAGAGAGATGGTGAATGGTGATTACTGATTTACCCATCAGTCATTTTTATGCCATGGGCTCTGCTTAAATATGCTATTGGAGGTTGTTTTTTGTTTTTTTTTTCCTTTTGGGGGGGAGGGGTCAAATATTAGAAAAATTGAATACATTTATATTCGATGCTTTCATTTGCTCATTTTTTTCTGGAAATACACCATGCAGGTGTCAATATTTTTTTCTACCCATTTTCCCACATTCTGGTTTTTGAGGATTAACCCAAATTTTGTCTACAGCCATATATTTTTGAAAAACCTCATCTTGTCAGATGTAAACTATGTTTCAATATTCATACTGATGTGATAAAGTTCTTTTTGAAAGCAAAAACTAAAATTTCCTGTCCAAAGTCATGTACTTCAGCTTAGGTGATAATTTCCAAGAGCTAATACAGCTATTACTTAATGTAAGATAAGAGCCAATTTTTTGCCACTAATGATAATTAAAGTAGCATTCATTGTGAAGATAAATGTAACTGATCTATGATTAATGCTTTCATCAACAGATAACAGAGAGTCTTACTTGAAATCTAGGGGGTCATTTGTTTTCTGTTGCTACATTGGACTAGGTTATTTTTAGTAAAATTTTTATCTCAGGTTTTGTTTTTATAATATTATCAATATAAAATAAATTTATTAAGTTTTTAATTTTTTTGGCCAGCCTGCAATCCCCTGAACATGGCAGCTATAAGAACATCTTTAAAGAATTTCATAGTTACTGACTGACTTTTTTTTCATAAAATACTTTAATTTTGCTAGAATTATTTGTTTTTATCCCAAGTTAATAGCTGAGTTTGTTGATAACATAAACCATATTGGCAGAAAAATATTCAGAACATCCCATGGTATTTGTAACCTGGACATAAAGTTTCAAATGTACAAAAAATCAGTCAGAGATATCTTTAATTATAATACAGAAGGTTTCTATAGCAGGAATGACCAGAAATTATTTCATCCCACTCATGTTTGATGTGCATCACAGTTTCAATTAAACAAAGCTGAATGTTTTCTCAACTAAAGTAACATACACCTCAGTCAGGTCAATCAATGTGTTACACACAAATATACATTCACCAAAATAGAGTGGACTATTGAAAAACTACATTATCCCTGGTTTGTGTAAATATCACAATTATCAAAACCTTTGAGGTAAAACTGTGAAAAGGAAACTGGTCGATGCTGTCCAATTCATTGTGCTGAGGAGAGAAGAGAATTGATTTTGTGAAAAGCATGTTATGGAAAGTGCACTCAAGATTAGTGTATCATTGTCAACATTTGGTTCATGAAATAATAATTAGGCCATGCTTCTATTGATTCCCAGGATTTATGGCTTATATATAGCTAACATGATAATGCTTATATCTCAGAGAAAGAAAGGACTTTTTTTGTAATTTTTATTTCATTAAACAGGTTATTAGAAATGTTACTTTCAGATTTGCAGACGAGTATTTTTAACTTTTCAACTTTCTGATATTAAATTTCCTTTTTATGTAATTACCTTTATTGAGTGAAATGAACTTGAGCAATGTGATTAATAGGAAAGCTAAAAACGCTACATGGGGGACTGCTGTTTCCAAGTGATTGTTGTCTGAATGCTTGTTGTTGCCATAGAGGTTAATTTACATAGAAATACCTTCTGTAATTAGAATGCTTTATGGTTCTTGATCTGATGTTTTCTGTGCATTGCATTCTTGTGCATCACAGCAGACTCAAGTTACTCCACTGTATTTTATTGTGATCAAAATGTTAATTAAAAATGGTAATGCAAGCTGGTTGACTCTCTTACATTAACAAATGTACACACTTGATTGAGGCTTCCTTTCTCTCTCTCTTTCTCATACAAGTATATTTTCTTTTTTTTTTTATTTAAAAATAAATATAAAATATTATGGGTTTTTTTTTCATTGTGTGTAACTGTCTGTGCGTTATGACTTTTATCATTGTGTTCTAGGTGCTTGTAACTGTGAAACAGACTGTGCCAGTAACTGTCCCACTGGCACACACTGGAATAATGGGTCATGCAGTGAATGCCCACAAGGATACTAGTAAGTAAAACCATCTTAATTGACTTTCTCTGTTTAAGTTATAATAGGACATATAGTCNCCGCCCCCCCTGCCCCCCCGGAGGCTACGGCCCTGATATTTCCGTGGCAAGTTTTTTTACCCGACTGGTGAACCTAATCGTCTCTATATCTGTACAACATGCGGAAGAGTGAAGGCTACTGTTCGCCGTCACAGTGCTATACCATCTTGGCAGTGCATCCCGGTATTTCGAGAACAAGTTGTGGTTTACATAATAGTGAAGACCGGGAATTGCAAGAAATAACATAACCACAGTGCAAGTTACTTTACGTCCACTAATTATTATTATTATTATTATTATTATTATTATTATTATTATTATTATTATTATTATTATAGCACTGAAATCGCATGGGCAGTTAAATGATGTTGCACTCAACCTTCATCTACTTTTTCACCCCTATCCCCTTAAAGGTTGGTGTAAATGTAATTATATTCATTTTGCTGTCATTTGGACACGACTATGTTTTAAAGGCACCATCATCATAAATGAAAAGAAATTGCAGTTCTTATTCTAGAACTTAGGCCCCTACAGGTTAATAATAATAATAATAACATCAATTGATTTAAAACGCTGCATAGCCTATGGTCATATTTGGTAGCTAGATTTGCACAGTGCTATCTGCCAAAAGCGAACAACATTTTTCTGAACATGAAAATCATAAGAAGGGTTGTTATTTCAACAGAGGATTGTGACCAGTTTCCGTAGTTTTGCTCAGACGTGTTCCCTGCTATATAAAGCCACGATAGGTTTCTTCTCTAACACAATGATTCTGAACACTCGTCTACGTTCTAGTACGTTTACTTGTTCTGAAAAGCGCTGAGCATTCTAGCCTAGTGCCATGTCACCTTTATCTGCCTCTTATAAATCCTGGTTGACATGTGCGAAATAACCCGTATTTTTATGACCGCACATTGTCTGGATTGACATGATAATAACGCAACACAAAAGATGTTTACACGTTGCTTTGGGAGCATAAACGTCACGAACCGCCATATTTATTTACTCATGAATATTCATAAGGTCACCTGTAAACTGTCGAAAACTTCTGAACACAGCAAGCAGGTTCTTGCTGTCATTTTGTCTATGTTTTAAGTTGATTTTTGTTCTAATAACTGTGGTATTTATAACATTTACTTGGAATACACAATGTTACGGTAACTGGATTTGAGAAATGAGGCGAAAGAAGGAACCGGGCAAAGAAAGAAGCATGTCGCGGACACCTGAATTACATAGTTATGGCGGACATGCCCCTTTCAGAATGACCTCCTCGTCCAGGAAGAAGTTTACAGAAACATTGCTGATTTTAGTCGTACTATGCGGTTTATGTATCGCTAATACACGTGGTATGTATGTGTGAAGTCGTTGTTTCAGCAAAGCAACTTAGCTTGGTCAGCTTTATATAACAATCACTTGTAGCAGTCCCAATATATATTGTCACACATGATTAAGTACACTACCTGTATATGAATTACAACTAGTTTCAGACAACAGGATTTCTTGAGACGTAGTATGATTTCTGCATTTCAGTGCGTAGTTTGTTTTGATATTACTGCCTTTAGTAAGTTTCTAGCTTATGATCCAGATTCAGTATATTTATAATTTTATGCTTTGGGTATAATACGTACATGCATGCACAATTTTAACACATTGCCATCTGACTCTATTGTATAATGGGAAGCCATTGCAGATTTCACTTAAGGACTCAGCAGCACCTTGTGTAATACTTTGTTAACTCATGCTTCATTGCAACTGTTGCATAACTGTGCCAAAATTTAAACGTTCAATTTCTTGTGTGGGCACTGAAGAATAAAAATAATTGTAAATTTAGCACAAAGATTCCTGCATTAGCACTTATGTGTAGTTTCTGATTTGTACTACATTATATATATATATTTGTACTAACAAACACATTTGCGTCTGCACAAAAAAATACAGCAGAAATCACAAATAAAAGTCCAAATTATCAGCTAACACATGTGATATACACTTATGGCCAATTATCAATAATTCAAGGATATAACTGATGGTGGCAGAGAGAGAGATGGTGACAGTGATAACCAAATTACCTATCAATCATGTTTATGTCATGGACTCATCCTAAACATTTTATTGGAGTTTTTACAGTATGTTGGGTCAAAGATTGGAAGAATTGAAGACATTTATATTTAATGCACTCATTTCCTAATTATTTGTAAACCTGAAAATACACCAAGATAGTTGTCATAGAATTATGTCTATGTAAAATATATTTTTCTACCCACAATTTGGCCTTTGGGTTAGACTGTGCTATTAACTTGCTATATTTTGTCTGTATCACTCTTACTACAGCCATGTTTTCTTTAAATCTCATCTTGTCAGGTATAAACTAGGTTTATATTTCCATCTTGATATGCCAAAGTTCTTTTTGAAAGCAATTTTAAACTAAAATTTCTGGGAAAATGCCTGGCTGAAGTCATATACTTCAGCTTAGGAGATTATTTCCAAGAGCTAATATAGCTATTACTTAATGAAAGATAAGAGCCAATTTTTTGCCACTAATGATAATTAAAGTAGCATTCATTGTGAAGATAAATGTAACTGATCTATGATTAATGCTATCATCAACAGATAACAAAGAGTCTTACTTGAAATCTAGGGGGTCATTTGTTTTCTGTTGCTACGTTGGACTAGGTTATTTTTAGTTTTAAAACTTTTTTATTTCTGGTTTAGTTTTTATAATATTATCATTATTAAATAAATGTTATTTAGTTTTTAATTTTATTTATATTTGGCCAGCCTGCAAACCTCTGAACATGGCAGTTATAAGAACATCTTTAAAGAATTTCAAAGTTAATGACTGACGTTCTTTTGTCATAAAATACATTGATTTTGCTAGAGATATTTGATTTTCTACCTAGTTAATAACTGAGTATGTTGATAACATATACCATATTGGTAGAAAAATATTCAGAACATCCCGTGGTATTTGTAACCTGGACGTAAAGTGTACAAAAAATCTGTCAGTGATATCTTTAATTACAAGACAGAAGGTCACTGTGGCTTCTGATCAGAAATTATTTCAGTCCACTTATGTTTGATGTGCATCACAGTTTCAATTAAACAAAGCTGAATGTTTTCTCAACTAAAGTAACATACACCTCAGTCAGGTCAATCAATGTGTTACACACAAATATACATTCACCAAAATAGAGTGGACTATTGAAAAACTCTGCATTATCCCTAGTTTATGTAAATATCACAATTATCAAAACCTGTGAGGTAAAACTGTGAAAAGGAAACTGGTCGATGCTGTCCAATTCATTGTGCTGAGGAGAGAAGAGAATTGATTTTGTGAAAAGCTTGTTATGGAAAGTGCACTCAAGATTAGTGTATCATTGTCAACATTTGGTTCATGAAATAGTAATTAGGCCATGCTTCTATTGATTCCCAGGATTTATGGCTTATATATAACTACCATGATAATGCTTATATCCCAGAGAAAGAGAGGACTTTTTTTTTGTAATTTTTATTTCATTAAACAGGTTATTAGAAATGTCACTTTCAGATTTGAAGATTTTTAAACTTTCCATCATTTTCTGATATTAAATTTCTTTTTATGTAAATACCTTTATTGAGTGAAATGAACTTGAGCAATGTGATTAATAGGAAAGCTAAAACGCTACATGGGGGACTGCTGTTTCCAAGTGATTGTTGACTGAATGCTTGTTGTTGCCATAGAGATTAATTTACATAGAAATACCTTCTGTAATTAGAATGCTATATGGTTCTTGATCTGATGTATTTCTGTGCATTGCATTCTTGTGCATCACAGCAGACTCAAGTTACTCCACTGTATTTTATTGTGATCAAAATGTTAATTAAAAAAGGGTAATGCAAGCTGGTTGACTGTCTTACATTAACAAATGCACACACTTGATTGAGGCTTCCTCTGTCTCTCTCTCTCTCTCTCTCATACAAGTATATTTTCTTTTTTTTTAATTTAAAAATAAATATAAAATATTATGTGTTTTTTTTTTTCATTGTGTGTAACTGTCTGTGCGTTATGACTTTTATCATTGTATTCTAGGTGCTTGTAACTGTGAAACAGACTGTGCCAGTAACTGTCCCGCTGGCACACACTGGAATAATGGGTCATGCAGTGAATGCCCACAAGGATACTAGTAAGTAAAACCATCTTTATTGACTTTCCCTGTTCATTTTATAAATTGTGATGGGATATTATATATCTAATCTTTGTTTATAGCTACTCCATTCAAAGAAATACAGTATGTAGGTTGATTAATGTTTGGCAGGCTAAAAGTGCTTTTATTTATAATGCCAAATACAAATGATGTTTTTATGATTTTGGATTTTAATTTGAATGTGAATCAGAAGTAAAACATTGACAATTGACATACCGAGTAAAGTAAAAACAAAATAACAAAAATTTTAAACACATGTTGTTGGTAAAAAAATCAGTTTGCCCCAAGTTTACAAAATTGATAAAGATTAAAGGATTGGAAAAAAAGCATTTAGGGATAAAAAGATATTTTGTATTGGTAACTTTGAAGTCTTAAAAAAAAAACACTTATCAGATAATGAGCTCTGCAGTCAGTCAAGATAGCAGAGTTACGTGATCGCTTATGGGCCAAAAGGGGTGGACTTTTGTTTGAAGTGACTGTAAAAAAAGCCAGTCTGTGTGTGTTGCGTGTTGATCCAGCCACCATTAGGATCCTGAGACTTTTCAAAATGGTTGCAAATTGCCTCGTCTTATCTCTGTGTCACAGACAACAGGGCCAAATGTCAATATTTGGTGGGGGACATTCATCCTGTTAAGTGTACATTATACATGCTCTGTTATGGATAGGAGATATCCCGATTACAGCAAGATAGCAAAGAACTTGTTTTGGCTGATCCTGTGATTTTGAGCACTTTGTTGCCACTGATACTTTAAAACTTTCAACAACTTTTGGCTGAGGTGACTTACAGCATTACCCTTTGGCATTTACTGATTTCTATTGCTACTTAAATGGTTTATGGGTTTCTTTTTAATTGTGATAAAGTGTTAATAAATGTATACTTTTTTTTCTTTCAAATTACCATTCAACATTGACACTTCCTTATTTTTTTAAAGAAATATTTCAGTATTTTTTGTATACTTTAAATTAGTTGGATGAAAATTTTAAAAACAAGCATTAGCTAATATTACAGTCTTTTTTAGATATCTACTTGACATCCTGTATCTGCTCAAAGAATATAGACTTGAAATCTAATATAACATTGAATTTGTTTGTTCTAGCTGCATAAACACAGTCATATTAAACTGAAATTCAATAGATTTGGATTTTATGTATTTATCTTTAATTTGAAACCACTGCACAAACATGGATACCATCAGCTTTTAACATCATTTTACAAACACAACAGAAACATTGACATTGGTGAAGAAATAATTGCTGTTCAAATATTCTTTTTTTTTCTGATGATGGAAAAGCTCTGTGTCCCTTTGCAAAGAATACATAAAAAATTGATAGAAAAAAATGGTCAGTGAAAGCCATTATTATGTTTTTATCTCACCACTTTCTATAAAACAATTTTTCAGTTATTGTAATCATTTTTCCTTGTTTATTTTTATATTTTAATTAATTTACTGATAACTATCACTTGTATACCTATTTTTTTTTTTTTTTGTCGTTGTTGTTCTTGTTGTTATCAATTGTTATGCTGAATGTTTGATGAATTAAACAATATTCTGCCAAAAAAATTGACAGTAAAAATAAATTTAATCAAAACTGCAAAGATAAGACTGTTAAACATTTTATTGATAAATATTCCAGTTTCTGGGAAAAATTCATATAATGGCCTAATATATAAATTTCAAAATACCTTTGGTTGTATTTAGACAATTATTCCTTTTTTTAAATAATATTCTTAAGTTAAGGAATCAGCATAATTTGATTGCAAAATTCATACTATAGAGAAATTAGCCTTACACTGGGAAATGCATTCCCTCAATTTTCTACATTTCTATCTACCTGACCAAAATTCACTCCCATCTCTTGATACATCATATGATAAACTTTTGCACACAGTGCCAAGAAATTTCCTTGGGATCGGGGATGGGAGTTGGGGAGAGGATGCACAGGCCTACAATACAATTATCCAATGCAATATAATTATGTAAACAGACAGGAAAAACTCTAAACAAAGATTCTTCCAAAAATATTTTTCAAAATTCTTTCCTGGAAAAGCATATGATCTCAAATTTTACAACTAATGAAGTTTAAATATTTCAAAAATAGCATATGTCATATATGCTTGTGGTAATCAATCAGGAAAATAGCTTATATTTATACAGAAATTAGCCTTTGTGTCTGTACCTAATGGAAAAAAGTAAATAAATAAGAAGTTGTAAGAAATTTTATATATTGACAGGAAGTAAAACTTATAAATTACTGTTTTTGTCTAATGCCTTGTCCTAAAGTTCTTTAAACTTTCAGTTGCGATTAAGCCATTATTTAGTTCTGTGGCAGTGGCAGTTTCCTAGATTCAAATGCAGCAAGGGAGACAGCTGCTCAAATTTTGCAGAGTAATACTTACAAATCCTTTTTACCAAAAGACTGCCTCTCTATCCATTATATGTGTGACAAATTAAAATATTTTTCAGTTATCATAGCCACGGAAGTTTTCGAAAAAAAAAAATTATCTATAACTATAAACCATGCTATATAAAGCAAGGCAATGAAATCTCATTACATATACAGCACTTCCTTACTGCCATTCTGACTATTTATTTTACCAGTAAGTCGGACAGGATTTATAGTTTATTTCCTCTCTCCGTATACACAAGTACTACTTTACTTTAGCTTCACCGTATATTGTTGATTAATTAGCCAACAACCACACCTAATATAAACACAAATAACCTTTTCATCTTTGTAGTAAAAAAATCGAGGTCAGCTTTGCCTTTTAGTCTCAAATACAGGATAAAATCCAATTTAAAATCTTTTAGAAAATTTACATAATACGGAACCCTTTTTCAAAGAGGTGTTGTTTGGATGTTGCATGGAGCAATACATGGAGACGAGGCCAAACACTGTATTGATAAAATGTTTGCCTTACAGATATATTGTTAGGTGCTTATTCAAGTGTATGAGGACCAAATATTTGTCCTTGCACCTAGAGCAAGGGTATTATGTGAGTCCGAAGCTGCATGCTGATGTAGCTTAATGAAATGTGTTTTAAAATCTTATTGTTTGATAAGTACCTCTGCTATTCCTAGGCAAAGCAAAGCAAATATATTCAGCATTGTCAGGTGGCGTGGTTCTTTTGTCTAAGTATTAACAGTATTGATATAATATTAACAGGAGTGATATAATACTACTATTTGTCCCAGAAACAGTGGGGAATTGGTAAATGAAAATAATCTTTTTATCTTTTTTGCTATATGAATTAATTAGCTATTAAATTACACATAATTTCCCAAGCATAGAAATATAATAACTTATTATTTTATATCAAAGATGAAATGATACAGCCCTGTTTCTGGTGTATTATTATAATCTATTTTGTTTCGGTGTGAAGTGTTCTCCATGAATTATTGGCAAAGTGAGTGTGCTGTAATCTTTGTTGACAGAGAAAATTAAAAGCTTTGTACAAGGATAGTGTATATACAGTGTATGGTGTATTACTTCTCACCAGCAAGTAGAAGAAAAACCCTGTCTCAAAACTGGCTCAGTATAGTCAGCTGTACAGGTCAACCTCCAACAAATAGTCTACCCAGTAAACTGAAGTAAAAATAAATCCACTGAATTTACTTTATAACTGAACAAAAAGGTATTGATGAATTCTTTGTAAGAAGTGAAATGTTTTAACAAATGCCTAGATATCTGAGGCTTTGCAAGCTGCTTTTACTTCCTCTTTCTACTTCTTAAGAAAAACTGGAATTGAATTTTAAGTCAAAAGATATAGAAAAATGGTTACATTAAATGATACTCAAAAATATTTAAGTAAAATACAAAATGAATAAAGAAAGAAAATAAAGAAAAACATCAAGAATGTTTATTTAGTTTTCCGTATTTAAAAGAGAGGTAACTATGAAAAAGAGGGTTAAGTCTTGACAAAATAACTGAAGGAATCTGAAATAGCAATTAAAATTCTGGCTGATCATGAGAACTGACCATTTATTATTTTCAAGTCTAAAATTTGAAATTAGCTGTTTGTTCTAGTATGTACTTGCTTTTGCTTCTCTGTTCTCTCTCAATCTTTGCACATTACAGCATAGATTTAATAAGATGAACTTAATGTATTAATGAATGCTTAAGTCAAATGGTTGCTCTGGGGTTAATTTGAATTAGTTGATAAAATTTTTAAAAATTAAGATAAATATTTTGATGATTTCAGCTGCCCTGGAGGTAGTACATCCATGCAAGCATGCCCAGCAGGTACATATAATTTCCAGACGTCCCAGATTGCCAGAGCTAACTGTACGGTGAGTATGCCCCTGACCATTTGAAAGACCTGGAATAAAATAATTTTTAAAGAAAGAATATATAGTCAGTGCTTATAATGCCAGATATGACAGATGACCAGACCTTTTTTTTTTTTTTTTTTTTTTTTTTTTTTTTTTTTTTTTCAATAAATATTTTTACTTTTTTTTTGTTTGTTTGTTTTAACTTAGGTAATACTTAACATTAAAGAAAAGGAATCCAGTGTATATATTGTCAACACAGATCACAGGTGTCCAGTGTAAAATATTAGCTTTTTTGATTTTGAAATAAAAGGTTAATTTTGAAGTCCTGAACATTTCTCTACTAGTGCATATGATAACAACAAACTTCACAGATTGCCAGTGCTAATTATACAGATTAGATAAAATTATACAAACAGGTGTGTTTGAAATAGACAAATACACCAATCAGTTGCTATTTGCAATAAATCCCATTTTGATTCATAGTTATTCTGATTTGATTGAATTTTGGTTTGGATATCACACTTTTAAAGGATACCATATAAATTATCAACTTAAGCAAATGGCATTTTCAGGCCTAACCAACTACCAGACTCGGCACCTAAGGATCCTGAATTAACCGGTTTATCGGACCACACTACCCGTTTTCAAGGTGTGTGTCAGATCGCATTTCAGAGTATCAGTCAGAACACCGACAGGATGAGCCCATGCTCGGCTGTCACCTTGATTGGATAGTAAACGATTGTCGTATTTAATCGCTATATGATTTTAAAACCGGGTGCATAAATTTGAAAGCCACCTAGATAAACCTTAGACTGCCACATTAAGCTAATACAATGCAAAATAGCCCTATCAAAAGTGGTTAAAACATTCAAACCGAATGTCGTAAAGTCCCCATATACCCCCATAGAGACAATGAAATAGAGTACTCTAAAGTAAGAGTACTGTTTCAGGTTGTTCAGTCGAGCGTGGATGAGCTCGCAGTCGTCCTACAAAATTTGTTCTGGGTATGATACTCCGAAATACGATCTGACACACACCTTGAAAACGGGTAGTGTGGTCCGATATACCGGTTAATTCAGGATCCTTAGGTGCCGAGTCTGGTAGTTGGGTAGGCCTGATTTTGCTGGTCAGCTTTGTTTGATGATTAATAAATCAATTACCATGCCTCAGCATTAAAATTAATAGCCACAAGCACAGTGGCTATTAAATTTGGATTTATGGTTCAAGGGTGCTGTTGCTGTGCTCATGGCTACTAATTTTACATTGGGATTCTTAATATGTGGCTCCAGTTGTTAACTTCGACATTTATGCTCACTAAACGAAGGCTCGAGGTGCAAATATCTTATCCATTTATAAAGCTTGATGATTCTGTGTAACAAGAGAGGGTGGTGGATATTCTCTCCTTGCTCATTCATGTTACATTGTTGATGGGTAAAAGACATGATGGGTAGATATATTTTTGTCATTAGTTTTGTCATTTTAAAATCTCCATGTCTACTGGAAGAGTTTGAAGGATATAAGAAATATGTTTAAACTAAGTAAAATGTACTATAGAGCTTGTTTTTTATCTGCACTTTCACTTCAGTTTTATCAAGAATGCTCTCTTGGTTACACATGGACCATATTCATATCAAATGTAAAACTGAGTATATCTGCTTTTTTGGTACAGTTTTATCAAATCTCTCTTTGTCAATATATTCTTATCAACATATACGGTGCAGGATCAGATAATTTTAGTATCTGTGCCCATTTCTCAATGTTTTCCTATATATTAACTAGCCTTGCTTTCCAGGCATTATGTTGAGTGTCCATGATGAATGGATATGATGATGGAAAGGCACAAAAATTAACATGCTGAATCACGAGATAACTTATTAAGTATTGGATAATGATATTGCTAAATGCCCCAACCAAAAAAAGGGAAGAAAAAGATTCTTTCTTCAATGTTGACCCTTAGTTTAGATCTTCATCAGACGTTCCATATTCATTACAGGATTGTCCAGCAGGTAGTTACAGCTTTGCTGCAGGTTCGGTAAGCTGTGACGAGTGTCCTGCAGGAAAAGCGTGCCCCATTGGCACGTCTGTCCCCACAGACTGTAGCAGTGGTCAGTATGCACTTAATGGGAGTGCGTCTTGTGAGAACTGCCCTGCTGGCTTTAAGTGTCCTGAACCCTATGAGCCACCTGTGTATTGTGAAGAGGGAACGTATCAAAACACTCCAGGTAAGTTAGAATGAGGAATATAATATACTGGTTTAAAATTTTGTAAGATAACTTGTAATCTGAAAATTGCACTTCATATTATCATTTCATGGGACACAATACGTAAGCTGATTTTGCCCTTTTTTGTTCCAGTATTGTACACAGTTTTATATTGATGACCACTTCAGATTATGCACAGCAAGTCATAAAAACATGATATAGAAGTTAGGACACACTTTTGAGATCAACGTGAAAAATTCACATTTTGTTGCTGTTTTTGTTTTCTATAATTTTGTATCTTTTTGTTTAATGATTATGAAATAAAAGATTGATATTCATAATTTCAGGTCAAACAACTTGTGTAACATGTCCTGCGGGTTTTGGATGTCCTCACAGGAATGACACTGAGGCCTGTGCAGCGGGATTTGAAAGTTTTGCGGGTGACGCTCTGTGTCACCAGTGTCAACCTGGAAATTATAGTTATGCAGGTTAGTGTGCAATTTTATAATTTTGTGGGATGTTGAAGTTTGTACATTTATATTGTTTAAAATATGAAAGTAACAAATGGCAGTTTCTCTAATTTCTTAAGTAAAATTATAATAAAACTGTAATATTGAATAGTGAGTATTTTATAATATATTAGGTATTTTATTATAATATTAAATATTGAAAAAACACATTCACAGAAAACTTTAAGTTAATAATCATATTATAATGTCTGCAAAAAAGAAAAAAGGTGAACATTTTTGAAAAGATGTTAGAGTTGGTATCATAATGTTTTTGTTATTAAATGGAAATGAGAGATCTGAGAGAAGTGAAATGTTTGAATAAGTGTGTTTGTGTCTGTGAGTTATATAATAGATATGGCAGTATGTCACATACAGTGCTGTGTTAGATGTATCACAGGTTGTGACTGGTGTTAAGGGTAGGGATGTGAGCACGTTTTATGGGACAGAGATCTCACACTTATGTGACATAATATTTGCCTGTTTTATGTTAGTAAAAGTTAGTATGATATAATAGGTGTGACAGTGTGTTGAATTTTATATTGTGTTTGGTTTGACATTGTGGTGTGGCATTTGAAATAATTCGTTGGATATGAAAGTATGTTAAATCTACTATTACCATTATAATGAAGTTTAAAAGCAGTGGAAAAGGTCTGTAGTTTGTAATGACCAAAGACAAGATAAAAATTTTTCCTTTACTTTAGGTGCTGCAATATGTGAGCTGTGCCCAGTAGGTTTTGAATGCAGTAATCCAGCCACAGCACCTTCACAGTGTGGGCGGGGCTTTGTGTCAGTTGGTGGACAGACAACTTGTACAGCCTGTCAATCAAGTAAGCATATGAACAATGAGGGTTCTTAGAAAAATTTTACTTAAAATTGTGTAAACTGTGAATTTTACTTATAATTGTGTAAACTGTAACATTTTCTGACTTCATCGAAAATAGCTTTCTGAGAGGTAATAAATAACAGTAAATTGAAATGTTTTTGTTTGAACTCTTTGTAGATGAGTATACCAGTGGTCCTGGTCAGTCCAGTTGTCTTCCATGTCCAGCAGGACGAAAATGCTCAGACCCAACGTAAGTATCCAGTCAAAGTATTTATATCTATAAGTTTTTTTCTATTTTGAAAACAGGAACCATGCTTTTTGCAAAAGTAGAAGAAAAAAAATGAACAATAGATATCTTGAAAAATAAATCCTTGATACTTGTGTTTATTAAATTGCAAGACAAGGTACATGTGCCAAAAAATTGAAAAAAAATATTATAAAAAAAAGAGAATCCCTGTACTCTGTATAAAATCTGTTTCACATAATTGTTATAAATAATTATTCAAACATTTGTATAATCTTTTATCCAGGCAAGCTCCTACAAGTTGTACCTCTGGGACATATGCCTATGAAGGGAATGGTACATGCACTGTGTGTCCACGGGGACAGTACTGCACAAACCCTCAGTCCCCGCCACAAGATTGTCCTGGAGGTAATACACTAAATACTTATAATTTAAGTATTCATTTTATAAATAGTTGATATTTTCTTTATTAAATAGATACATTTTCAGTAGATATAATTTTTCATTTATTCAGCCTTAAATTTAGTTTGTTGTTATGTGTATTCTAATTGGACCATAATTTGTACCCTAGCTTTGCATTGTGATTTCACATGCTTTTTGTCTTTGAAGTAAAAGTCTCTTACTGTTGAAGATCTAAATCTATACTGTTTTCTACTCTGTATCATATTGTTACTGTAACATTTCATATTTCTTCTCTCCAGGTACCTACTCTGACATAGGCTGGACCCAATGTGAGCCGTGCCCTGCTGCTTACGGCTGTGCAGACGCTGCCTCCACACCAGTGCAGTGTTCCCCAGGACAATACAGTGCAGAAGGACGTAAGTGTGTTAGGTGTGACAGTGTGCTGGTTGAGATATACCAGCTGTAGCATTGTGTTTGTTGTAAGGGCGTTTAGTTGTGTTAGTGAGCTAGATTTTATAGTGAATTAGGTGAGATAGTGGCTAGGTTGTTAAAGGTACCATTTATAAGTAATAGATTGAACAGTGTGTTTGGATTTAAATCTGTTATTTTTTGATGGTTTTGGTTTTGTGCATGTGTTTGGGAATAAAGGTAGTTTTATTTTCTGTTTGCTCAATTTTTAGTTTAAAATATATCATTTTAATCAAATCCCTACATTGATTTCAGGAAAATCTTATCAGTTCTCCATCCATACTGTGTGTGTGTGTGTGTGTGTGTGTGTGTGTGTGTGTGTGTGTGTGTGTGTGTGTGTGTGTGTGTGTGTGTGTGTGTGTGTGTGTGTGTGTGTGTGTGTGTGTGTGTGTGTGTGTTAGAAGTAATACTATACTACACTTGGTATTGTATGCATAGTGGAAGTGTAATGTATAAGATTATGCTGGAAATAACTAAGAGAATATCTTAAAACTTAAAAGAAGCTTTCAAACATAATTGTCTGTAGTTATTTTTGAGGATCATCAAAATGCTAGATAAAATGTTGCAATAATATATGCATCATGAAAACTGCTGGCAAGAGTTTCCAAAATAACATCTGATTCAATAGTAATATTATTTGTGAGGCTGGATGTTACACTGGCAGCATAATTTGTCACATTGTTAGGAAGATATGAGAGAAAGGGCTGTAACCATGCTACAGTTTATAACAGGTTTATCTGTGTATCCATGTAAAGCCACTTCACTGGGATTATTATTGCTGTACATGTGGCACCGCCCATAAATCTATAAACTGGAATTATGGCCACAATAAATATCTTCAGCAGTCTGCTGCTGTGGAACAAAACTTCAACTTTCCAGCTGGATATCTAATTTAATATGATTATGTAGGTGTTTGAAGAAGAGAGACAGATTAGTTTGTTGCTTCAATTTATGATTTTCTGTGTTAACATAATTAGAATATAAGTTATAATGACAGTGTCTGTGTGCATATATTTGAATACTAAACTCACATAATTTGTATGTAATAGTTATAATGCAACAAAATGATGGAAAGAAGAGACTTAATATATATCTATTATGTAAATTTTAGATCATGCTATCTAACCAGCTGAATTAAAAGACAGTCTAGTACATAGCCCAGTAAAAATTATTATACCTATAAGAGCAATAGATTAATTTGGAATGGGTGTTACATTAGTCTTCATTGTATTTTTTGTGAGAGAAAGAATATCTTGTATCATTTGGTACAAAAAATATGACAGAACTTGGTACATAGTTTGTTTTGATAATATTGCATATACTTTTTTTTTTGCACCAAAATATATCAAACCATCTTTCTCTCTCATTATCTAATGATGCACACACAATAAACATTCACAGCATTTCTTAATCTTTCACATTTCAGAGACAGCCTGTACAAACTGTACCGCGGGGACCTTTTGTCCAACAGGTGCAACCGTGGAGATTGCCTGTGCTGATGGCTATTACTCTGAGACTGGGTGGACTGCCTGTCTGGCCTGTCCGCCAGGATATTCGTGCACTGCCTCGGCTGCCACGGCATGCAGTGCAGGCACGTACTCTACAGGGCTCGCCACAGCATGCACACCATGCCCACTTGGTAAGTGATGAATATAGGATGTGACATTTTACCTGATATACAAAGACTTAAAAATACAGAATTTAAAAGAGGAAAGGAAAAGAAAGGTGTGTGTCTTTTAAGATGAAATGAGAAACATTTTGGTATACAGTATGCTTTAGCCTTGTCTTATAATTATTTCTAATATTTCCATCAAAGATACCATGCTTAAAATAAATGTACTGTTTTTATCTTAAAGAAAATATCTTTTCATTTGATTTAATTTAAAATCTGCTATATGTGGCCTGTTTCTATTTATCAACCCTGTATTAAGCATAAACTGAGATAGTATTAGACAAATAGGACAGGGCATTCACAAAGTGTCATGTTCCAAAGTATGAGGACATAAATTTGACATTTGCCTACTCCAGGATACTACTGTGCTGACCAGGGGAGCACCCCTGTGGCCTGTCCTGCTGGTTTCTACAATGTGGACCCCACAGCCACCAACTGTACTATATGTCCAGCTGGCTTTGAATGTCCCAGCACAGAGACTGTGGGATCAGCTTGTAACCAAGGTACACACACACACACACACACACACACACACACACACACACACACACACACACACACACACACACACACACACACACACACACACACAGTTATGGATTTTTTAAACGTCTGTCACTATAGCCTAATATATGATAAAAGCAGATATTATTTACATTTTTGATGAATTAAAATGCAGCTTCTCCAGTTTCCGACCCTTCTTATCATTATTTGTTTATATGTACATTCCTACAAAGGGTCCACATATATGGAGATATATTCATCGAGTAAAAATATGTCTGAATGTATAAAGGCAACCAGTGATTTTAATATTAAATTATTTAATATCAAAATATTTAATACTAAAATATTGTGTTAATATGACATTTGAATAGTGTTTGAAATAAGAAATATAACCAAACTTTGACACACCAATTTATACTCAGAAAATCTTTCACCAAGGAGTGACCTGTGTCCATTTCAGGCTACCAGAGCACTGCTGGTCAGACATCCTGCACCATCTGTCCAGCAGGGTATGCATGTCCAGACACTGCTAACCCCTTTCACAATTCACCCTGCTGGGCAGGGTCTTATTCCATCCTGGGCAGTGAGACATGCACTGAGTGTCCAGCTGGGAAATACTGCCCCAGCACCACGTAAGTTATTGTAATAGCATATATGTGGAGGATGATAATCCCAGCAGGCAAACGACATTGATTCTACGTTGATTCAATGTTGATCCACTAAAATTAACGTTGATTCAACGGTGAATCAATGTCGTTTGTCTGCTGGGAATGGTTTAAATGACTGGTCATGACACAATAATGCATGAGCTTGTATAGGTATCAAAGGATATTTATACATTTGTAACTGACTTTCATTAATAAAATTTGTTTTAGAAATAGAAATATTCCTTGTTATAAATATGCAGACTTAACTTTGTGTTGAATAATACTGTGTAGTGTTAGTCATCACTGGCTGATTTTTATCTTAAAAGAAGATAATTTCAAAAGACAAACCAAATTAATTCAGTATATATTGGAGTTTTGTTTTTGTAAATCTGCCATAAGCAGATATTGTGATATTTCTACCAGGGAGCAGGTATTCACATTTCACATTTTACAGTCATAAAATGCCACTTGATTTGTTCATTTAGATAGTTATAATATATTAGTATTTCATGTTTTACTTTAGTGAGGCAGTAGAGCTGGCCTGTGAACTGGGCACCATCTCTGCAGGCAATGTGTCTGAGTGTACAGCATGTGCCGCGGGCTGGAAGTGCCCCAATGCTGACGGCTCAGGGATGGTGGAATGTCAGCCAGGGGAGTTCTCTGAGGCACGTGCATCCATTTGCACAGTATGCCCAAAAGGATACGCCTGCCCTAACACCTCAATGGATTACCAAGTCCAGTGCAGTGCTGGTACATATTCTGTTGGTGGTCAGACTGAGTGTACAGCATGCGCAGCAGGGAAGTATTGCCCAAGTATTCTGGCAGCAGTGGAATTAAACTGTCCAAGTGGGAGTTTTTCTGTGGGAAATGCGTCCAGTTGTACCATGTGTCCACCTGGGTATTACTGTGCAGCAACTGATTCTGACAGCAGGTAGGTGTATAGATGGAGCCATTGCTGCTGAGAGAGAGAGAGAGAGAGAGAGAGAGATTCTTAATGTAAACTAATCAACTTCATTCAATGGCCTAAGCATTTGCACATTTATTTTAAAAAATCAAATTTATATACATGCAACTGAATAAAGTAATATACACAACGTCAAGTATACAATATTCAACCATACAATTACACACATTTAAGGTGAGGTGCATATTAGGTGTTACACTGAACATCATATCACAATGCATAAAACATAACATTTCACTGATTTTTATTTGTTTTATTCAGGATTGCCTGTGACCCAGGACAGTATGCTCTTGGTGGTAAAACAGCGTGTACAGACTGCGAGGCAGGTTTTAAGTGTCCCTTTACCACCACTGGCCAGGAGAGGTGTCCAAATGGGTTCTACAGTCCTGCTGTCTCTACTAACTGCACTGGATGTGAAGCTGGATACTATTGCCCAAGAACAGAATGTAAGTCAGGGGCATAATTTTAGATAAGAGTAATTGCAATCAAAGTTAAGGCTGAGTAGTTTTGTTTTATTCCTGACTGGCTGATGAAACTGAGTGTCAGAGCTGGTTTCCATCAATATTTGAAGATTTCTAATAGTCAAGTGTGTTTGGTTTCATGCTTAATGCTGTGCATTTACTTGACTTTCCACCAGATATGATAGTAATCCATCAGCAAAATCTGCTATTTCATATTTCATCTTCTTCTTTGAGTGAATCTTTCAATATCCTGTCAAGCACATTCAGTTTCCAGTTTTTGTCATGAATTGAAAGAAACTCAATACAGATCTCATATTTCAGTCACAGTCAGGACAGATTATCTTCTAATGCTCTATCAGTCACATACAATTGATTTCCAATGTTTGCTGTGAAGGATAGAAATTTTATACAAATCTCATATTTCAGTCAATGCCAAGAGAGAGTGTGATCCAGGCACCTACTCTGCAGGCCTGATGACAGCGTGTCTGGCCTGTGACGCTGGTTACACTTGCCCAGCTGGGTCAACGTCCCCTCGTCCCAATGGCACCGAGTGTAACGCTGGTGGCTTTTGCGACGGAAGGGACTTCTTTGGATGTCCAGCAGGAACATACAATCCCAACAATGCATCCAAGTCCATTGCTGACTGTTTGCCTTGTCCTCCAGGTTTGTTGAAATAGATGCAATTTCTTGGTTTTTTTATATAATTTTTATGTAAATTGATTTTGACATGCCATTTAGTGCTTCTCTGTGGTTAATTAAAACTTGCAGTTTTACTTTTTTCCTAAGAGTGACTAGAAACAGCTCAAGAGAGGAAGTACTATATTTGGAATGCTATTTGTTTTTTTTAAGAGAGTTGTTAATACAAATTACGCTCATTGAGCTAGAGATGTTTATTTTTTGTCACTGAAATATGGATGATTATATTTCAGTACTTTATTTCCTATGATCACCAGATGTACTGAGAAAATGATTTACAGTCATTTTTAAAATCACATGAAAAAATAATGTGCAATTCAGCCCTTTTATTTCAATGAAAAGATTGCACCAGGTCTTCCACTCTATCTTTAATTCACTTTTTATAGGCTACTACTGTCAGGGCACTGGTAACACTGGGTTTGAAAGTAGTCCCTGTCCTGCTGGCCACTATTGTCTGCTGGGAACTCAGAACCCAACACAGCATGCCTGTCCTGGTAAGTGCCTCCATCTATAGGTTGTCTTTTATACCATGGCATTGTACAGTTATTATGGATTTATGGACTATATTTAATTTCAAATAGCAATTTATTCATTAGTTTTGCTTAATGTAATTTTTCAGCTAACTGTTTTATTGATTTTAAAAAATCTTGTAAGTTCTGCATCCTTACTGAATAAGTGGAGAGTGTGTGAGAGGGACCCAGATTTTAATCACCAATGATAATTCAACTTTCATCCACATTTATCTCAGGTGGGACATACAGCCTTGTCACAAACTTAACCAGTGCCTCCCTGTGTCTACCGTGCCCAGAAGGAAAGTACTGCCCTGCTGGGTCATCCACGGATGGCCTGGACTGTCCAGCTGGTTTCTGGTGCCATGCCAGTCAGGGAACGGGATTCCTCAACCCTTGTTCTATAGGCACTTACAGCAACGCTACTGGACTTGTCAGTAAGTGAGACGCACATCTGCACCCTTGGTATTTGACAGTTTCAGTATAGTTTTCTGATAACATATATTAACATTTTTCATTTAATATGATTTTGAACCTCAAGTTTCATCTTTTTTTTCACAGCTGATATTCTCTCCATTGGTGCAACAGACATAGAATTCTCAAAAGCTAATTACTCTGTGACATACCAGTAGTATTATGCCTCCAATGCAATTTTTCATCCACCACACTATAACTGTGTCATTTAAAAAGGATATTTGTATTTCTTGTACCAATCCCTTCCATTTATTCACTCCAGACAGCACCCAGTGTGTGGACTGTCCAGTGGGTCACTACTGTCCATGGGGATCTGCCAACGCCCCGAGGGTCACGCCCCTCCCCTGTGAACCAGGGTATTATAACCCCTTGGAGAGGACGGGGCATGAGCTGAACTGTAAGCTGTGTGACGCAGGGTGGGCGTGCCCTCTGATTGGACAATATAATGTCACTGTCCCATGCTCACAAGGTAGAGTTTATTATATTTTTTTAACTTTAAGATTAATTTAATAATGAGATATTTTTCAAAATTTTTATTTTAAGCACCTACATCATGTTAAGATACTTTTCAGTGGTTATAGTGAATATACATTATCTTCATTCTTTAGGTAGATGAATAAAATTTTGCTGCTTGGTATCATTAGTTACATGTATGGTTAAGATGAGGAGTCTTTATTTAAGTGACCCATTATTTTGTGAGTTTTTAATAATGAATGTTATTTTTTATTTTTATCTAATGGCTACATTGATTTCAGGAAAATCTTATCAGTTCTCCATCCAAAAATGTGTGTGTGGGTGTGTGTTTGTGTGTGCATGTGCATGCATGTGCAGGCATGTGTCATTGTTGTGTTCATTTGTGAATGTGCATGTTTAATTAATGTGTGTATATACATTGCCTTTGTATGTGTGTTTGCACAAGTGTTGGGTGTGGGAGAGAACATTTGAATTTGTGTTAGTATGTTTATTGTGCTTATGTTCTCTTTGTATGTATGTATTGAATGTTTCTGTGTTTGTGTGTCTATGACTATGCATGTGTGTATGTGTATTCATATTTGTGGTGGTTTAGATATCAAACAAGAATGTATAAAGGCATATTTGAATGTGTGTGTGTGTGTGTGTGTGTGTGTGTGTGTGTGTGTGTGCATGTGTGTGTTTGAATAATATAAGATGAACAACTTATCTCTATTAATAACTATCTTATACCAATACAGGTTACTACTGTCCTAATGGCACCATTACCCCAGACCAGTACCCATGTAAACCTGGCACCTACACTGGCCGTACTGACCTGACCAGTGCTGAGGAGTGTGACCCATGTCCACCTGGTTTCTACTGCTCATGGGGGACAGGTAATGTTATCAGGATGACCACTGTGCCTTGACACCCAAGGAATATTATAGTACATTCATAACTGTTCAGTTAAATTTTCTCAAATGTGCTGAGAAGTGGTGACATGGAAATGATACTTTGATTAAACAGATTTGAGCAGTGTTCAGTTGTGGAACAAACCCCTGTGCACTTAGATCTTAAAAGTAACTCAAGCATTACATAGTTTCACTAACATTGATTGAAAATAAAAGTATTGATACTGAGTGTCAGCTTGGTAGAATTTAAGAACAAATCAGTCTTCAATCAACTGTCCAAAAGTTAAATGATTACACACTTGAGTCAAAGATATGGCAGTGACTCTCAGTCTCTATTACTATTTAGACTGGTGCCTTAAAATTGAAAATTAGTTATCAGTTTTTTGCCTTATGCAGAATAATAACTTTTGTCACTTATTTTATCCTGTGATCCTGTGAATAGAAATAAAATATGAAGGTATCTGATTTCAGGAGTGGACATCAGTCCCCCACAGAACTGTATGCCTGGCTACTACTGTCCAGCTATGACCCCAACCCCTGACCGCTACCCATGTCCATCAGGGACATACTCAGCTAGTGCCAACTTGTCTGCTGCTGACCAGTGTACTCCATGTGATCCAGGATACTACTGTAATGGTCAGTGTTGTCACAACCAACACAGCTTTAGTCTCCCCTAACACAGCCAACATTCTGTGTGTATTTTACATTACTATCAATACAGTTGTGATGTTTTAAAAAGGCAATTAACACCTGTCACATTAGCATGGCCATACAAACAAAACTTTTGGCTAAAATTATTCTTACTTATGTCCTTGATTTTTCTTTCACTTTAGAGTAATAAAGTAAAAAGCTAAACAATCAACCATCATAAATGAGAAGTCATAAATAATGATTGACGTTGATTTGAATTTATCTTTTTGATCTCAAATGCTATTGTTATTCAGGTTGTTATGTTGTGATTTGTGATAAATATATCATATTATGATAATCTCAGTTGAATGATTAATTTTCTCTGTTGTAGGAGGAGAACCATGGACCAGTGGACCCTGCCCAAGAGGTTACTACTGCCCAGAAGGAACTGAGTACCCCACACAGTATGGCTGTCCCAATGGCACATACAATGATGTCGAAGGCCTTTACAATGAAACACAGTGCAAAACATGCCATCAGGGTACAGTAGACTTTAGACATGAATTTATGCTATCAGATATTTGAAAAGTAAACAGAGACAGAGTTATTTTCATACCTGTTTCATAACATTTGCCAAGAAACTTCAAGCTTCAAAATTATGTCAGTAGTGAACTGTTGTAATTAAGTTATGTATTAAATGAAAAGAAGAAAGTATATGGTTTACAGAATAATATACATATGCAAGCAAACAACTAAATTTGATGTGATATCTAATTCATGTGGAATATAAATATGGTTAAGGAAAAAGTAAAATAATTGTATTGAATCTAATGCACCATATCTCTCTTCATTTCCTTAACATACTCTGATCCTCTAGTTTGTATCATTATTATAATTTTTATAATTATAAATGCACTTTATCTCTTTTCTTTTTCAGGCACCTACTGTGAGTTTGCAGTGAGTGATGTCACGGTGTGCCCCAGGGGGACCTTCATGCCCTGGGGTACCAACCTTACCAGTGGGGAGGTGGTGCTGGATTATTTCATTGGAGCTGGTAGGTCTAAAGCCACTGTACTCAAAAAAACATGAACAGATTTACAACCTGGATATTCTTTTATCAGCCTGTTCTAAAAATATGTTCAGAGACAAGTCTCCCAGAATTATCCAGAAATTCACATGTATCTTATCATCTCTTATATCATCTCATTTTTATGTTTCCTTGATCTAATTTTTCTCTGTAACTCAATCTGACAGGTGTTCAGAAATGGTTGTTCAAATTTGGCCCATGAAGGCCACATTTATGAGGATACCCCACTATTTAATAAAATAAATCTCATCAGAATTACAATTGAAGTTAATTAGCATTAAACCTTCACCAGTTGAAATATTGAATAATACTTGTCAACCAAAATATTGTATAATGAATATTATACCTCAGGCATCCCTGCCCAGCGTCAGTTCTCCTGTGTGGACTGTGTGGGTGGCTATTACTGTTTGGAGAATACGACCACACCAATACCTTGTGGAACAGGATTTTATTCCAAACCAGGGCAGTTTGAATGTACTGTCTGTCAAATAGGGTAAGACTTTGCTTTTATACTAGAATACCCCATGTAACATGGTTAAAACTGAACTGAAAAACTGCTTCTCATTATATATTCACTGTTTAAAATTTTATTACTTGGAGAGCGTATTTGTAAGAAATTGATTGCTAGCAGTAAGTTATCTTTATTATATTCTAATGACCAATGTTTATTGATACTTAAGGTGTTTAGTGATTGTTTAAAAAAATTGGATTTTTGAACCTTTAAACAAATGCAATAAAAGGAAATTAACACTGATTGCTGGTAACAAGAATTTGGATAATTTTATCATACCTTATGATAATCTCGCATTTAGCAAGCCAATGCACTGCGAGCTAAGGTCCAAAATGAACTCAGTTGTTGAATTTGAATTGTATTTACTATATTTTCCAGACATTATTGTGACAATGAGACCACCTCAGAGACCATGATGTTGACAGAGAAGAGGTGTCCCGCAGGAAGGTACTGTCTGCCGGGACTGCACAGTGAATCGAATGCCTTAAACTGCTCCAAAGGAATGTACTGTCCTGAAGGTAGGGATCACACAGTATAAAACACAATGTCTCATCTAGCACAATTGAGGCATTGTCACATCCAGTGCATTGCAATGTGTGTTGGGCTCATCTAATGCATTATCGAACACAATGACTCAGCTAATACATTTAAGAATAAAACCAGGTGTATGTAACATATTACATATTGCCATATTTAATGTTAAAGTTTATAGGAAATATGTTGAGGCCATTATACTAATGTGCCATTTCAGCCACGGTGGAGGAGATCAACTGTCCAGTCGGCACCATAAACAGAGTGACCAATGGTCCTGACATCAGTGCTTGTGAGCCATGTCCAGCTGGTTATTACTGTCTGGAGGGGGTGTTTGTAGAGAGTGGGATGTGTGACCCAGGCTACTACTGTGACAGTCCTATTACCAATGTGTATGGCAGCTCTCCTGCTTTGATTGGTCCATACGGTCCGAGACAGGTAGGTGATTATTTTATAGGTCCCATTCTGAATAGAGGACTAACTTGTCTGAGTGTCAAATATGGCTGACCCACTTGAATACTTCCCCACAGGATATCTACTGCATTCAGTATCTATTAACGGATTAGAAGGCAAGCTCTGTAGTGGGCTGCCATATTTAACCCTCGGACTAGTTAGTCCCCTATTCTAAATGGGGACATAGAGTGTGGTGTCACATGATGTTGATAAACTTGAAGTCAGATTAAACTCAAAACATTTTTTGGGTTAACAGATTTGTTCAGAAGGCCATGACTTTTATGACACATGCAGGAATAAAAAATGACTTTCTTCTTTAGCCATGCCTTTCTTGATGTCCTTCAGGTTTATGATATACTTTGAATCCTAAATTAAGAAGTGATATGTAATACATTTTAAATTATTAGTTATGTCTTGCACTTTCATTCCACTCATTTAATACAATTACATGCGCCATCTTAATTTATTTTGTAAAATTATACATAAATGTATTTTTTACATGTAAGCCATTTTAAATTAAAATTGTCATGCTCAACACATTGATATTTATTATTTTACACCTGTCCAGGCTGCCTGTCCTGAGGGAACCTACTCTAATGTGTCAGCCACTCCCAATGTGACCATGTGCTTGACCTGTCCAAGAGGCTACTACTGTCCAGTGGCTTCAATTGACCCTACAGACTGCCCCAGAGGGTACTACTGTGTGGACGGCTCTTCCAAGCCAGAGCCCTGTCCCATTGGCAGATATGGGAATAATACAAGTAAGTGACTGATGGAGGATGGGGATTTATCTTAGCTGATATCTTTGTGAATTTTCCAAGAAAATGTGACTGGATAACGATAAACAACATAGAATTTTCAGATTCAGTTTGTACACTCGTTAAGCAGTGATTGTTTGCTACATCCAGTCTGCTGTGTTTTGACCTTGATGATTAAATGAAGACTATATGTATCTCTTCTATAAACTCCTTTTTGTCAAATGCAATTGTCCTTTTTGTCTGTTGGTAATATTTTTCTTAATAGATACATAGATTGTGATATAGGTACACAACATCTGCCAATAAAACATACCGTTTTGTATATATTTGTATATATTTAGGACATCTAACACAATATTTCCCACATTTCAGACCTAGAACAGATGACCGACTGCCGTCTCTGTGACCCAGGGATGTACTGTGATGCCCCAGGTCTGTTACAGGCCAGAGGCCAGTGTGATCCTGGGTTTCTATGTTATTCTGGGGCCACCACATCAGCCCCCAATGACAACACCACTGGGGTGATTTGTCCCCGAGGAGGTTATTGTACATCAGGTATGTGTAGTCTTACCAGGAAGGTGAGAACATCTGTCAAATCCAGTCTGAATCTTGACCAAGAATTATGTCAGGTAGATTGTCATCTGTTGTGAACAAACCTGAGATTGAATGGAGATTTCAAGGTACTTCTGAGCCTAATATATACACAATACCATGAGAGATACCATCCAAGATGAAACATATCTCACTCTTAAACTAAATTATATGCCAAAAAAAAATCAAATCTGACCAGACATAAAATTAGTTAAAAGGACTGACAAGTACAAACCCCTGATAATTTATTCCCTTTGTAATCTTCACTTCATTTGTCAATTTTTGATTCAGAATGCTTATGTTAACTCTTTCTATAGCTACAGTTTTTTCGTAGGATTTAAGATTTGTGACTGATCATTCTTTTTTCTATTCTTTTTTTAGGATCATGGGAGGCATTGCCATGCCCAATGGGGACCTACAGTAACGAGTCTGGTGCCACGACAATCCAGGGGTGCCGCGACTGTGATGAGGGCTACTACTGTTCCTCTGTGGCTGGAGGTGAACCAACGGGACTCTGCTGGGGAGGTTATTACTGCACTGGAGGGGCACATAATCCCAGGCAGCATATTGTAGACCAAGGTGAGTTAACACATTTATTTAACTTTAATTATTTACTTAGAGTCAGAATCATGTGCAGAAAATATTCAAGGTCAGTATGTTTTTGCACTAGCTAAAGCAACGTGAAGGAAACATTTAAAGGCAGTGTGCTTTTGTCTCATGTGATACAGTATAGAGAAAATGTTTGGATTTATCTAGTTTTCAGATTGATTGAATAACTTATCATTTTATGTAAAGCCCAGTTGCAGGGATTTAGCTAAAATATACTTAGTTGGCAGCTTCCATCACTACCCAAGTAGTATGTTTAACCAAGCAAACAGTCGCAGCAAACTATTTTGTAATTTGCATATCCCTATTTCCAGGTTATTATGCTACAAACGGTTCAACAGCACAGACGGAGTGTGCCATTGGAACATACAATCCGTACTACGGGCAGTCGGAGTGCTTTGTATGTGATGAAGGCTTCTACTGTCCTGACAAAGCTATGACCAATCGGACAGCTTGTCCAGCTGGGAAGTACTGTATGAGTGGGAGCTATGTCCCCTTGGACTGCCCTCCTGGAACCTTTTCTAACATGTGAGTTGATGGGGATATTTGAGCCAGTTTCATGTACATTGTTATAGCCCCAGATTAAGTTCAAGCTTTGCCTTGGTCTTTATATTAAACTCAGATTTTTAAGCAGTTTGCTTGGTAAAAGAACTGGTTTTAATTAGCCATTAACTTAGTTTAATCCCAGTTTCAGGAGATTTGATTTAAAGCCAACTTGTGAAATTGGATGTCCCCAGAAGTTCACACATGCACCCAGCACAATATCACCTAACACAAATACATGTCCTCATTGTCTGTTTCTTCTTCAGCACACATGCCACCAGTAGGGACAACTGCACTATATGTCCAAAGGGCTACTACTGCCGAGACAATGGTGCCACTGCGCCAGCTGGTCAGTGTAAAGCTGGACACATCTGTTACGAAAGTGCACTGGACGATGACCCTGTCTTTAACAACGACACAGCAGGGAACAAGACTATCATCCTGTGGGGAGACCGTTGTCCAGCTGGTCACTACTGTCTGCAGGGTACAGCCGAGCCTACCCCCTGTCCCAGGGGAACCTATAACCCAGATAAAGGAGGTGCCTCTATTGCTGCGTGCTTAGATTGCGATCCTGGAACATATTGCGCCGCTGCAGGACTCACTCATGTGTCAGGTAAATGATATCCTGTTAACGTTTCTTTTATGTTTAAAGAACTGTTGATGTTTATTGACATTATTCAAATCAATCAGCATTTATTGACAAATTATGTAATTATGTAAATGGTAAACAATTATGAGTAAATGCTTTTAGTCATCCAGCAGAACTGAAATGAGAGAGAGAACTTACATTTGGCAACTGATGGACATTGCCTGAGACCTTTCACTTTTCCCTTTCCTTTCAAATGACCTGGATGGAATGGTCACCTGATCTATTGTCATAGGGGATAGTCTCCAGCACCCGTCCCATATGTGCAAGAGGTTTATCCTGAATAATTATATATTTCAGGTCTGTGCAGTGCTGGGTATTTCTGTACGGGCGGAGCACATCTCCCAGAACCCCTGGATAACTCCACCACAGGAGGGATCTGCCCCCAGCACCACATCTGTGTTAATGGCACCGACACTCCAAGCCTCTGTCCTGCAGGTTACTATGCCAACAACACAGGATTGTGGGAATGTACGCTGTGTATCGCTGGCTACCTATGTCTTCCTGGACAGGCCCCTGTTTTATGTCCCAGAGGTAAGTACATCATCTGGAAATGCATTCAGTTTGTTTGGTCAGTGTTCTTAGTTCAGTGTTATGTTGCTGGTGTAAATTTTCCCTCTGAAACAGAGGGCACATGAATTGTTCAAATACCTTTTTCAGTTTTAAATTAAATAAAAAAAAAGTCAACTGTTAGACTGGGTTCCCATGCCTAGATAGATCCATTAGGATCAGTATAACTCAACTTTAGCGGCTTAAATCAGCTCGGCCTATGGTAGTTAATACCCCCTAATAGCCGTAGTAGGCATGACAGACATTTAAGCTACTTAAGTTGATAGCAATTTAGTGTGACTACCCTTGGAGATAGATTGATCCAAAGTTAGTACGATAGTCTCTGGGAATGGTCCCTTAGATTGTCAACACATGTTTATTTCTTGTTATCCAGGGTACAGGTATTAAGTGTTTCCACTGTTCTTTCTTCAGGTCAGTACTGTGAGGCCAGTACAGATATTATACCAGTTACTCAGGGTACAGCTTGCCCCAGGGGGACCTACGGGAACAGGGTGGGGCTGGCTGCAGAGAGTGAGTGCACAGACTGTGATGGAGGAGCATACTGCCTCACCACAGGTAATGTTTACTGTCTTGTAGTAGTTTTGGCATCATTATATTAGTCTCTATATCTGGGAGCACAAAATTTATTTGCAATACCCCTGTGTAATTCTGTATTGTTTGTTAATCATTGCTTGCTAAACTCTCCACTTAACTCAGTGGATTGCAAATTCTGTTCACCCCATGCCTCCTCTTTTCTATCTCTGCACACCTTAAGTACTTTGCCTGATGACATAATTGTAGGTCATGTATCTTAAATGAGGGGATATGCACTGTGTGTTGTTTTGACAAGTAAAAATGTTATCTTGCATATAGCAACACAAAATCTAAATTATACAAACATTGCGCTGATAAGAGGAAAGATTTACTCTTAAATATGTCAACTGTGTTTATTTAGAAATTTTTTGGTTATTAAAGGGGGCTGTGGAGATTCCAAATTTGTTTGCAGTTTCTTGATTTATGTGAAATTTATGTTAAATTCATATGTTTGAATATATGGAGATGGCAGTAGGGGTTATACACTGGTAGCTGATCATTATCAGCATTATTAGCTTGAGAAATGTATAATATAGTGATATAAGCATAAAGATTACATTTTTATTTTTGGTATCAGTTTTTTACTTTTATTATTGAATATGAAAACAAATAGATATATTACCAAAATTTTCTTAATGTCTTTTTATAATAGCTATTTGATTGCTATACTGTTTTGATCCATTATTATTATTATTATTATTATTATTATTATTATTATTATTATTATTATTCCAGGTCTTCAGAACGTGACAGGTTTAGTCAGTGCTGGCTACTGGGCCTTGACCAGGGCTAAAGTGTTTGCCCCCGAATTTGACCCAGAAACCACTGCAGACTATGGGTGGTGTCCAAAAGGCCACTACTGCCCAGCAGGCACCTCAGAGCCAATACCATGTCCAGCAGGCTCTTATGGGTTGGTGTTATTTAGACTGGTGTAATACATAAATGGGATCAGAAATCAATTCTGAAACTTAATTATGAATTCAAGAGTAACATATTTATCAAAAATAAATGATACCAGTAGTTGACTTTCAATATTTTCAATCATACAAAAAGTATGGAATTGTTCCATAATTACTCAGTTCTATAATTACTCAGTTCTATGTTTTAAGTATAAAGCATTTGTTTTGCATTGAAGATATTACTCAACTTAAACAATTCTCTTTGAATAAGTGCACAGGAATGACTAGTGTGAAGCAAATCTCATTCATCAGCAAATATATATATATACTGAGTAATTGAGTGACAACTTGACTTGGTAGTGTCTTTAAAAGGTAAAAAGGAAAAATGACATAGAGATACACATTGAATGAATTTTCTGTCTTCAGATTTAGCATCAAACTTGGAAGTGAGTCAGCATGTACATCTTGTGACCCAGGGACATTTTGTCCATCATTAAACATGACTGCCACAGGCTCACCTTGTGCTGCTGGCTATTACTGCATCAGAGGCTCCCCCACTGCCACTCCAGTCAATGAAACCTATGGAGACATCTGTCCTACAGGTATGGAGAGCTTAAGGAGATAATATATAATATATTCATAATGTATTCAGCTGCAAAATTCCTGTAATTGTTTAATTTTTCAAACATCAGATAAACTCCAGAGTTGTTCTTATGATTCCAATATTTCTATGTCTAACAAGAAGCCTTCATCAGGGAATGAGGCTGTATGTGTGTTAAAAGCCTCTGTCGATACCTTGTTTGAAGGAACTGTTAGTATTGTTACTTTGAGTGCATAAATCTTTTGAGATATTTAGCTACAGATTATGTAGCAACACTAGCTATAGATCTAGGTAAGTTTATCTATCCAGGTGATTAATCCAGTGTGTTAATTTTCACCTTTAAATTCTCTGGATACATGCATTTAAAAGACTTAGATTTCAGCCGTCCTGACCACAGGGATAATAGGTTAGTCTTTCAAATGTGCATATCCAGAAAAAACAAAAGTCAAACTACAAAAACTTACTTTGTCAGTTATGTAAAAGATTATCATCATTTCATTTCATTACACAACAGGTTACTACTGCCCAGTTGGCTCCTCGTCCCCACAGCCATGCGCCGCAGGAACATACGCCAATGTTACGGGAACGGTAACATGTCCGGCATGTCCAGCTGGCTCTTACTGTCCAATCAACACCTCCTGGCCCATTGAATGTCCTGCAGGGTTTGCATGCCCTGAGAGCTCTGTTGATGCCTTTACCAACCCATGCCCCAGGGGAAAATACAGTAACATTACTGGGAGAAGTGCTGTATCAGAATGTTTGAGTTGCCCCCCTGGGTAAGAGAGATTTTGATAGATGATTACGATTATATAACTTAAATGATTATGTATAATTTGATGAACAAAATGATTTTCCTTTGATTTCCTCTGATAGTTTTGTGGTTGGAAGTCACTCCTATTTTCCCAGATCATAAAATGTAATACAATTATTGAGGGATTCATTGCTTCAGTATTTCTACAAAGAGAATTCGTATGTACAGTATACTTAAGAGAAACTTCATTGCTCACCTTCCATTGGATTTTTCCCCTGTTCCATCATGTCAGTAAAAAAGTGTATGTAACATAAAAAATGTTGATCAGATAATCATCTAGCCATTAAAAACTGAAAACAGTGCTGAAACAGTGATGGATTGGTGCTTTCAGATACTACTGTGGAACCACAGGACTATCAACACCAACAGACCTGTGTGATGCTGGCTGGTTTTGTACTGGAGGTGCAGAGTTTGCCCAGCCGTCTGCCTCTGACCAGGGAGGTCAGTGCCAGCCAGGGTATTACTGCCCCAATGGAACCTCCGCCATGATACCTTGTGACCCAGGAGAGTACTGTGCTGACACTGGGCTTGCGGCACCCAATGGGCTGTGTGATGCTGGCTTCTTCTGTCTCAGTGGTGCCAGCTCAAATGCTCCAACAGATGGCACCACAGGTAGGTTAAAGGATAATGGTTTATATTTGCACATGTGGGTTTTATATTCATGAAAGACTTCAGTAGTAATATAATTTTTATATTTATTCAATAATATGTTTATTTTAAAGAAAGTAACTAAGCAAAATAGCATACTGACTTGCAGTGTTCATTTTTATTTTAATATAATTTTCTTGCAAAAACTCCTTTAACATTGGACTTTGTAGAATAAAAAAAAACAATAGAGTCTATGTTTAAAGTGTCTCTGAAAGCTCCTTGTTTCCCCAAGGAAGAGATACTGAGTCAGACTTTAGCAATGTAGCTGTCATTGTTACACTGAATTCCAGAGGATCAATTTATACATTTTAACAAGCACCCTGTGTCTCAGATGATTGATCTCAGTGCATATATTATGACAGCATTTTCCAACATATTTGCAGGTAACGTCTGCCCAGCTGGTAGCTACTGTCCCTCAGGCAGCATCAATGGCACCCTGTGTCCCCCGGGGACTTTTATGAACAACACAGGCAGCCAGCAGGTTGCAGACTGTCTTAACTGTACTGCGGGGTACTACTGTGGTGGCTATGGCAATGTCTACCCCACTGGTCAGTGCACTGAAGGATACTACTGTCCAGAGGGCATAAGTGACCCTACTCCTGTCCTGTACCCATGTCCTCAAGGTAATTAATCTTAATTTAGCTGAGACTCACATTAAAAGATTTTTAATACAAGTGTGATGATATACAGTATTGATTTCTGAAAATATGAATTTGATAGATGCCAGATTTCATGTATTTATATACATTTTAAATGCTCACACAAAATAAAAACTAGTAAATAACAAAATAGGTCTTCAACCACTTGAAACACCTTTTAAAAATTGACTATCTGGTTAATATTATGCAAACTTTGAATTAACTTCATACAGGTCACTACTGTGCCAGAGGAAGCCATGAGCCTGTCCGCTGTGTGGCTGGCTACTACCAGGATGAGACGGCACAGGGAGCATGTAAACTGTGCCTAGAAGGATTCTACTGTGACAATACCAGAGAGCCGGTGGTGCTGTACAACACCTCCTACTGTCCTGAGGGTAAGAGCAAACACTATAGGAGTCTGGAAGAAGGGGAGCGGGTGGGGACTTGGGTTTAATTGGCTGGTTATCTAACTGTTTATTGTGGGCAAATGGTGAATACAAGAGATAAGTCCAGAAAGTATTGCATTTGGTTGGTTTGTTTGCTGAATATTTCTTGTTCAACATGAATATAAAATCCTTGAAGAAAAGTACTAACATGAAACTAACAAAAATACATGCAGTGCCCCAAACACTTCAACTGATTGCCACTAACATCCAAAGATGAAAGAAAAAAATATACAAACAAAAGACTCATAAGTCATAGCTTTTAAATATTTATGAGTTTGTTACAATTTTCAAATATGTAATACCTGTTTTGATAAAAAACATTCCAGGTTACTACTGCCCCAATGGTACTCGGTTCAGCACAGAGTTTCCCTGTCCTAATGGGACCTACAGCAGCATACAGGGGCTGAGGTCTGTGGGAGAGTGCACCCAGTGTGCAGGAGGGTACTACTGTGATGAACCAGCACTGAGCAACTATACTAAGTTGTGTAATGCAGGTAAGTGTGTGTGTGTGTGTGTGTGTGTGTGTGTGTGTGTGTGTGTGTGTGTGTGTGTGTGTGTGTGTGTGTGTGTGTGTGTGTGTGTGTGTGTGTGTGTGTGTGTGAAGTTTCCAAAATTTATTTTAGCTGAAATCTGGAAGTGACACAGTTTGACTCTGATCTTTGGTTTGAAGAATTGAACCTAGATGAGATAGTGGGTTAATTACTAAATATTGCTCATATTAGTTTTAATACAAAGTTTATCGTTGTTTTTTTAGTTATATAGAAATGTTATAAAAATAGTGCTCTTTACAATGTTTGTGTTCAATATATTTTTTATCTGGTCCATAATTTTATAGATGTCACTTGTTACAAGAAAATCATATTATTGTTGTGTTTTGTTATAATTCACTCAGGTATTTCTGCCGTCTCGGAGCCAAGTCAGGAACACCTCTTGGGGAACCAAATGCAGATGAGTGTCCTGCTGGGTTCTTCTGTCCAGAGGGCAGCACTGAGCCACAGAAATGCCCCCTGGGAACTTTCTCCAGTAATGTCCGTCTTACAGCTGCAACTGATTGTTCAAACTGTACTCAAGGTATGTGTGTGGTATGGGATGACAGAGTATGATGTGACTGAATAGTATTCGATGGTGAAATGTGTTTTTCTTAGTCTTTTGAGTAAAGATCTTTAGAAAAAATCCTTTCTGCTTTTGATGAGGGATCAAAAGTTAAAAAGTATCTAATTAGAAACAATTTGCTTTTTTTCAATGGCTTGTGATACTCTTAGACTTTCTAGTGGAAATTCTTGATTGTACTGATTGAAATTTACTTCATAACAGTTATTTTTGTTACGAAATTAGGTGCAATTGGTCATTTGATATTTGATTGAGTGACATAAAATGATAATATTGATTATTAATTAAAGATACCATATATTGCTTTTGGTGTCTTATATAGATTTTTTTTTATGCTTTGTAAAACAGTGTCCTATTGTCCTATTACTGTTTTATGATTAGGCTACTACTGCAATGGACTCAACCTGACCACACCCACTGGTCAGTGCTGGGGTGGCTACTACTGTCCATCCAATTCTCAAGCCAGCACTCCAGATTATGCACTATGTCCAGAGGGAAGTTACTGTATTAATGGAAGTTTTGTCCCAGAACCATGTCCACAAGGTAAGTGACTATACTTAGTCTGATAATTGTGATCTGTCTTTTTTGTTCAAACTCTATAATGCTTCCTTTTTTTTTTTTTTTTTTTTTTTTTTTTTTTTTTTTTTTTTTTTTTTTTTTTTTTTTTTTTTTTTTTTTTTTGGTTAATCCAGATATTTTTACTTTAGGGAGTTCATATTATTATTATTTTCAATTAATATTGCACAATTCTCCCATTTGAAAATTTAACTTTGTCCATTTATGTAATAATGTAATACATGTACCTATAATAATAACCAATTCCATTCCAAAAAAAAGAGAGAAAGAAAAAAGGAAAAATACCCTGTGTATCACTGTTTATATCTGCCTATTCAGGTACATACTCCAACCTGACTGGCCTGGCCGCAGCCTCAGAATGTCTCCAGTGCCCAGGGGGATATTACTGTGAGACCCCAGGGTTAACAGCCCCCACTGGACTGTGTGGAGAGGGCTACTACTGCCCAGTGGGGACCATATACCAGGAACCCAACACCACCTACTGTCCTGTTGGTCACTACTGTCCAACTGGTGTGGCTGCACCACTGCCCTGTAGAAATGGAACACATGTAAGTTTTGTAGATCAGCGAGAGAGTGTGTTATGTGTGACATTGGATTAGCATTGTGGATGCTTCAGGGTGATTATAATTATGTTTAATGTGGGAACATTGCAAGATTGCATAGATCATGAATGTTATAGTGAATAACGGGATATTCAATGACAGACATTTCTGAAAATATAAAAAATGGATGAGTCATTTTTATTATCTTTGAAAGCTGCCTTTGTTGGAAAGGTATATTGTATATGATTAACAACTTCTAATTAGGTATGCTTATGAACGATTTGTTAACATTATAGATATGGATGACCAGTGAATATTTGGTTTTATCTCTAATACAGGTGAACTACACTCACGCTGTGAACTGCCTGCCCTGTGATGCTGGCTACTTCTGTGCGGCCGCCGGTCAGTCTGAGATATGTCCTGTGGGTTACTACTGTCCAGAGGGCACGGGACTGGACATCAAGTCTTGTCCAAGAGGAACATACAGTGACCAGACTGGACTTTATGACTTAAACCAGTGTAAGCCATGTCCAGCTGGTCAGCATTGTGATTCGGAGCATCTGGGAAGTCCATCAGGTGAGACAAGGATTGTGTTGTCACAACTAACACACTGATGTGAAATGGATTCAGATACCTTACAGTGTTAGGCATATCAAACTAGTTTTACCCACTCTGTATTCTGTCCTAACACTTGAATTTTGCTTCTTTTCAGAACAGTTTTCTATGGAAAAGCTTACCAAATTTTATATTGAAACTGTTTGATCAATATAGATCTTGTCTATCACTTCAGGATTAAATTGTTTTAGCTGTTTTGCTTTACACACTTGAATATAATGAATACATTTATAATTTCTTACATATCTTACAAATTTTGACCATAGCTTGCACCAAAAATTAGGCTACAAAAAAGGATATTCAATATTCAATTTTAAAAATCGCCCTCCTTTAGGTAACTGTGCTGCTGGCCACTGGTGTATTATCGGAGTTGATCGACCGTATCCTGATGGTACCAATCAAACTGACGCCATTAATGAGACCTGCTACGACTGGAGACAACTGGGCTATGGTGGACGTTGTCCAGTTGGTCACTACTGTCCACAGAGCAGTCAATATCCTGTGGTTTGTGCCAATGGAACTTATGCGGACGAAGAAGGGTTAGAGGCTTGCAAGACCTGCCCACAAGGTATGGGTGAATTGTTAATTTTTGAATTTTTTTATATTTATTAAATTGTATTTTAAGCCCTTAAAACTAAATATGTTTTCAGTACAATTTCAACCAAATTCCTATGTAGCATCAAAATATTATTATAAGATATAGGTGCATCAAAAATTTGATTAGTAATATCAAGAAGGACCACAATGAAAAGGTCTTAAGTGAAGATTTTTTTTTTTTTTTTTGGTGGGGTGAGGGGGGTATTTCGGTATTTGGTCATTGTTTTATTATTTTGATGTCTTTGACAAACACATTTTCCGCAGGCTATTACTGTCCATCTGGCACCACTAACTATACAGACAACCCATGTACATCTGGCTACTACTGTCCAAATGGCACTGAATGGTGGAACCAGTACCCATGTGCTGCAGGAACATATAATAATGAGACTCTAAGGACAAGAGTGGAGGACTGCCTGCCATGCCCTGGTATGCTTTATACTGTCTCACTAAAAACACCATACAACTTAACACAATGAGATGTTTTTTATTATGGTGAATGCAATATCCATATGCCTACCTCATCTTGGTAGCCATCTTAATACAGAAAATAATTAGTGTTGTGTTAATATTATGAGTTTAAAAAAAAAAACGGCTTTGGTGATCTTGCTACCCATTTTTTTGGACACAAATGATGTGAACTTATTGATTCAAACATTAAAATTTCTTTCTAGACACTTCTGTCTTTTTTCTCAAAAATATGAATTATGAACATTACATCACTGTGTGAAAGATTAATATCCTTTGAACCTTTTATATATAGGATGATGCAATGAACAAGTTGTTATATTCTTTTCCTTCCCAGGTGGGTACTACTGTGAAAGAGAAAGTCTCAGTTACCCCAGTGGTATGTGTATGGCAGGGTACTACTGCTCTGGAAGTGCAACTACACCAACGCCATCTGGAGTGGGTGGTAATAACTGCGTGGCTGGATATTATTGCCCCGAGGGTTCCACCTTCCCTACCCCGTGTCCCGGTGGTTATTATTGTGAGGTAGACATGCTGAATGCCACATCTGGCCAGTGTGATGCAGGGTACTACTGTACTGCCATGGCGGTGGTGTCCAATCCTACTGATGGGAATGTGACAGGTTAGCCAAATTTCTACAGCTGCTTCATTTGGAGTGAATATAATTATTTGATTCTTTTGTTATTTCTGAATTGCTTTTTATCATGAAATTTATGTTGTTTTTGTTATTTGATAGTAGAGAAGAGCTTTTATAATACTTTCATAACTTTCATATATGAGATATGTTTTCTAGTTTGAACTTGTCAATTAAAAAAAAGCAGCAATAGATATAACGTTTAACTGGTACAATATTTAAATATTAAAGCATTCCATTTAGTGCTACTTCATCCATTTAGTACTGGTAATGGTTTAGCAATTGGCAATGTATATTGAAATTGAATGAGGATTAGATAAAACGGCTACATTTATTACAATTTCAGGAGACATCTGTCCCCAGGGTGCATACTGCCCTCTAGGGAGTGATTCCCCAACACTTTGTCAAAATGGGTACTTCCTCAACAGCACCGGGAACGATGCATCCAGTGACTGCATTAGCTGTACCCCAGGCTGGTACTGTCCTGGGAGTGGAAATGCACTGCCCACTGGTCAGTGTGCTGCTGGCTACTACTGTCCAGGTGGTCAAGACTCTTCACAGCCCACAGGGTACAACTGTACACTAGGTTGGTGGTTTTTATTTCTTTGATTTTTTTAGTTATTTCTTTATTATAGTGATGTTTATTTTGATGCGATTAAGTAAAAATGTGTGAAAACAGAAATTATCAATCATTTTAAAAGGTACTGAAGTTTTTTAAACTCATCAAAGACAATAATGGAATTATTGACTTTGTTTTGAATACCGAATACCATAAAATATTCGTTTTTGATAAGTAAAATTTTCAAGTGGTAGTAGCATTATAAAAGAAAATGTCCAGCAATTTTCACAAAGATATACCTTTAGTCTACATATGACTTCTTAAGGTTACTTCAATCCAATTCCATTGTATTATATTTACATAATTTATTTCTGAAACTCCCAATCATTAATAATCTCATTATGAACCATTCCTCCCCAGGTCACTACTGTCCATTGGGTAGCTCGGCCCCTCTGCGCTGTCCATCTGGTCAGTACCAGGATGAGTATGGCCAGGTCAACTGTAAGCCATGTCCAGCAGCATATTACTGTGATAACACCATGGATCCTGTGGTGTTGTACAATAACACATATTGTCCAGCAGGTCAGTGAAGTGAGAAAGTGTCAGTGTGTAATATGAATTTAGAATTGATCATGTGCTGTTGTTAATTTAATATCTTATTAAGGACTTTGATCTTTGTAAAACTTTCATATAGCAGCATGTATGATTATATAAAATATATGAAATCTACAAAAGATACTTAGGTATGAATTTCATATTGATTAATTATATGAATTTTAAAAATGTCAGATTTATTCATGCCATGCTTCTTCTCCCCATAGGTTTCTACTGTCCTGGAAACACCACCCAGGCCTATGAGAACCCCTGCCCGCGTGGAACCTTCAGTAATCTCACTCACCGCACAGATGTCAGTGACTGTCAGCAGTGTAGTGGTGGAAGTTATTGCGAGACAGAGGGACTGGTGGAACCCACGGGGCTGTGTGCTGCAGGTGGGTGGGGATGATGGAAATAACATTTTGTTGATTTAAATGTTGATGGATTGATAGTGTCCTGTTGTCACAAATTGTGAATAGTGTGCCCTTGAGGACTTGAGGAGCAATTCCTTTGGTGACTGTGAAAAAAACCTGTCCTACCACAGAAATTGAAGATGCATTTCTTATGTTGAACATGCTATTTAAACATACCTTGCACAATTAAAATTGAAGAAAATTAGTTTTCATAAGAAATTTGCTGATTGATCATTTACTGCTTCTTTGCCATTTTGAAAATAAATTAATGTCCAGGAAGTAAAGATTTTACAAGCAGTCACAAATCTCATTGCAGTATTTTAACAGTGTACATGATTGTCTGTTGTCATTTTTGTTTTTGCCTCATTATACCTTACTTTACCAGAAAATCGTTAACCCTTCTTTAAACAAACATTGTCAGAATACATATAATTAATTTTTTCCAGGTTACTACTGTCGCTCTGGCTCCAACAGCTCTACACCAACATACAGCAACGATGCAGACGAGTGTCCAATTGGTCACTACTGTCCACAGGGCAGTGCTGCCCCTCTGTCCTGTCCACCGGGGACATACACCAACGCCACCAGGCGGCAGTCAGTGGAAGAATGCAGCAACTGCACTGGAGGTGTCTTCTGTCCATCCTGGAACATGACTGAGCCAGGCTCGGAGTGTCAGGCTGGTAGGTCCTGGTTTTAGTTTCTGGTGTTCTTTATATTTTAAAGGTGGCAACATTTTGGAGAGAGAAGCAAAATGAGGATGGCTTTTTACATCTAGTTAGTTGAAGTCTATTTGTTATATCTATGTCAAATAAGAAAAGGAAAACCAAATCTAATGGAGAAAAATATCATTGGGCACATATTTTCATTCTTTCAAAATATAATAAGTTTAAAACATGACTGTTTCATTGATTAGAACATAGTGAAACAAATCTGTGTGAGGCAGAAAACTGATTTATAACATGTGTAATATCTTATTAAAACTTTACAGGCTATTACTGTCCCAGTGGAGCCAGTGTGGCCACACACATCCAGTGTGATGCAGGCAGTTACTGTCCCCAGGGGTCAGTAATGCCCACACCTTGTCCTAGAGGGACATTCTCCAACACCACTGGACTAAGCCTAGAGAGTGAATGTACCAACTGTACTGGAGGATATTACTGCCCAGATACTGGTAAGTCAGGACAGTGTGTTAGGTGTGACATTATTTGTGTAGGATTGTGTTCAGGGCAGTGCGTTAGGTGTGACATTATTTGTGTAGGAATGTGTTCAGGGCAGTGTGTTAGGTGTGACATTATTTCTGTAGGAATGTGTTCAGGGCAGTGTGTTAGATATTATGTGTTTTTTATTTGATGGTGTGTCAGGTTGATCTTGAAAATCAACTGCAAAGGGCTATGACTAGAAATCACAGAAGTGTCAAATATTTCATAGTACAGATAAAAACGTAGTGATAGACTAACAGTGACTGTAATTTTGTAGTTATGAATTAATATTGAAAACTGCCTCTCTCTTTCAGGCTTGACTGCAGCAGAGTTACAGTGCTGGGGTGGCTACTACTGCCCTGAAGCAGTGGCTGTCCCTAATCCTGTGGAATACATATGTCCAAGAGGAATGCATTGCCCCAATGGAAGTGCTATATATCAGGTATAAAATTAGTTAAGGTTTGAGATTTTGGTATGGAGGACTACTGGTACAGAATTTTTTATTCCGATTGATTGACTAAGAAAACATGAATGGCTTATGTATGATATATGGCCTGGGGGAAAATTGGTTGTTTTAAAGGTGGATATGTTTAAAGATTAAATTTTTTTTTTTTTCATTTATTTATTTGTTTTTATTTTATTTATTATTAATTTCTGTAGTTCCAAACTTTGTAAAAAACTTAACTATTCATTTTCATTTGAAAACTTTTAAAATTCGTAACATTGAGAAAGGTAAATCATTTCATCCTTTACCTATAGGAATGTTCTGAGGGAACCTATGCCAATGACACTGGAGCCAGCAGCTGTGACACCTGCCCTCAAGGCTACTACTGTCTCCCAGTGCGGCCACATAATGCCTCTCTCAATGCCCAGCAATGTCCAGCTGGCTACTATTGTCCAGCAGGTAGGTCACTTTATATGTATTGTTATGATTGTTGCTAAATTTAAAGATATTTTAAGTAGCATTACATGACGCATTTCTTACTTTTTTTTGTAGACATTTTACTTGTAACTTACCTTGCAAACACTTTTCATTATGGTGATGGTGAATATTAGATAAAGATTCCATTAATTATTAATAGTAGTGAAAAATCATTGTTGGGATGACTGAAGCCATTGGAAGCCCCCTGGCATTCAGTTCAAATCTTTAATGAATTGATTTGTGCTAAGAACTAAAAAAAATGAGAAAATGAATACATAGCAATTAAAACATCATGATGAATTTATATTATTTAAGATAATAAAAACATTAACTTTGGTCTCCAGGTACTGGACTAGACTGGCAGTCATGTCCAGCAGGGACATACAGTGACCAGCAGGGCCTGTATGATGTCAGTCAGTGCATCTCATGTCCAGGTGGTCAGTATTGCCAGGGAGAACATAACACAGCCCCAACAGGGAACTGCTCAGAGGGTAAGAATAGCTGGACACTAGCACAATTTTGTGTCTTCTCTAACACAATCTGATGCACCTTGTGTAAATATATTAGGACTCCTCTTATATAATGCAATATAATTGGTAATTATTTTAATGGGGAAGACAATATATTATATAGCACTATATCTATAGGAATATGTTGGTTCAAATAGTTTGGTACATAGCCCAGTGAGCGATTGGAATTTGCGAATTTTCACACAAGAGCAACTTTTTGTAAGGTATCCATTTTGATAACTATAAGATAGTGCCACTCAAGTATATGTTCACAGTTAATTTAATATTACAACTCCAATTTGATCTTTTTACTAGGCTACTATTGCACATCAGGAGTAGATCGCCCAACACCTGGAGCAGACAACAGCACCATCAACTGCACATGCCCAGACCAGGCCACCTTCACAGGTGTAGGGGGCGTATGTCCCCTTGGACACTACTGCCCTCTAGGGACTACAGTGGCTCAACCATGTAATGCTGGTACATACGCTGCCATGGTCGGCATGTCACTGTGTACTGTATGCCCTCAAGGATTCTACTGCATGGCCAATGCATCGGAGTTCCTCAGCACTCCTTGTCCAGAAGGTAGGTTGTCTTGGATGTGAAAGCCATCTATGTTTTTGTTGAATTATACAGTTTCAAGCATATGAATGTTCTGTGAAATGATATAATTTTGTCCATTTAAGTTGCTTAAACCCTATGTTATGAACTTTCTCATAAATTATTTTTTAAATTGCAGTTCTTAAAAAATTGGAGGTAAATCTTTTTAAAGATCTGATAATAATTTTATAAAACCGTTCACTGACCTTTCTTTTTCCAATTTCAGGCCACTACTGTCTGAATGGCACAGAACACTCCACCGAACACAAGTGTCCACCAGGGACCTACAACAACCTCACACAAGGGACATCTCTAGCAGACTGTCAACCCTGCCCAGGGGGATGGTACTGTGAGGGTCAGGGTAACCCCCAGCCCACAGGACAGTGCCAGGCTGGCTGGTACTGCACCAGTGCTGCTACCAACTCCAATGATACCATCAATGGTGGACAGTGTCAGCCAGGATATTATTGTCCTCTGGGTATGATATGTTATGATTTGGTGTCATATGATCCAAATAGTTGATGATATTCTTGAAGTGAGGGACAGGCAGGCAATGGCTCGCATGTGAGAATGATATCATTTACGTTGCATCAGCACCTGGCTCTCGATGGCTGAAGCTAAGTTACATGAAAACAGTAGAATCATTTGAATTGTAATTATTTTTTACTTGATAATGATAGCAGAACAGAAGTGAAGTTACTTACTTCATATTAAATTGGCTAATTCAGGTTCCCAGGCTCCCTTGGATTGTCCAGGCGGTCAGTACTGCCAGACCCCAGGGCTGGACACCCCCACTGGACTTTGCTCCCAGGGCTATTACTGCATGGGCACATCCTCCTCCCCAACCCCCACTGGAAACATCACAGGGGACATCTGCCCTGCTGGGTTCTACTGTGAGGTGGGGTCTCAGTGGCCGACACCCTGTGCCCCAGGGACCTACAGCCCCAGTGTGGGCAATATCAATGTGACAGACTGTGTGGCTTGCAGCTATGGGGAGTACTGTGCTAACTATAGTATGGTAGAGACTTCAGGTAAGGCTGCAGACAGCGGTACTGGTATATTGGTATAAGTTGCAAGGAATAAACATTTGGAGTTGTAGTGAGGTACTGTTTGTTAAGAGACTTAATGGTTTGTTTGCACAATAAGTAGCACAAAGTATATATAGTGGACAGGCAAGTTTTTTATGTTCAATGGAGAGGACAGTTTTAGAATTTTTTGTATTCTCTGGCATTGGGTTCTTTTCTGGCATAAAACCAACAAATATTCCATTTCCCATTTTGTTCAGGTAACTGTACAGCAGGCTATTACTGCCCACAAGGAGAGCGAACACCTGACCCTTACCTGTGTACTGTCGGTCACTACTGTCCAGAGGCCAGCTCAAGCCCTGTACTGTGTCCAAGTGGAACATACCAGGACCAGACTGGTCAGTTTGGATGCAAGACCTGTCCTAGTGGATACTACTGTGATAACAGCTATGGAGTTGTGGTCATCAATGAAACCATCACCTGTCCAGCTGGCTACTACTGTCTGGATGGTAAGTTTCATAATCATACTATTTTTTGTTTGTTTGTTTGTTTGTTTGTTTGTTTGTTTGTTGCGCAAAATTTGTGTATTTATTTCGTTAATTTTTGTAATTTTTTTAACCAATTTTTTTATTTTGATTTCAGTAATTTCTTATTTATAATTAACTTTTTTTCATTGGGTAAAGAGAGTACACCTTTCAATGTTGTTTTCACCACTTAAACCACAAACAACCCATAATGAGTAATTTTATTTTGGGGCCAAGTGTTTAATAAACAGATTATATTATTTTTGATAAGACAAATAAATGATAATTATTTTTTTTCAACTAGGTACACCAAGAGCAGACACATACCCCTGTCCTTTGGGAACTTTTGGCAATGACACAGGTTATAACAGCAGTGGCAACTGTAGTCCTTGTTCAGGAGGAATGCACTGTAGCATTGTGGGAAGGACTGCACCAGTTGGCCTCTGCACNATGGCCAATGCATCTGAGTTCCTCAGCAGTCCTTGTCCAGAAGGTAAGTTGTCTTGGATGTGAAAGCCATCTATGTTTCTGTTGAATGATACTGTGAAATGATTTTAATAATAACCACTTGAGTTACTTAACCCTATTATATGAATTTTTGCATAAATTATTTTTTAAATGTGGTTCTTAAAAAATTGGAGGTAAATCTTTTTAAATGATGATGATTTTATAAAACTGTTCATTGACCTTTCTTTTTCAAATTTCAGGCCACTACTGTCTGAATGGCACAGAACACTCCACCCAACACAAGTGTCCCCCAGGGACCTACAACAACCTCACACAAGGGACATCTCTGGCAGACTGCCAACCCTGCCCAGGGGGATGGTACTGTGAGGGTCAGGGTAACCCCCAGCCCACTGGTCAGTGCCAGGCCGGCTGGTACTGCACCAGTGCTGCTACCAACTCCAATGATACCATCAATGGTGGACAGTGTCAACCTGGATATTATTGTCCTCTGGGTATATTATATGATTTGGTGTCGTATGACATAAGTATATGTTAATATTTTTGAAATGAGTGACAGGCAGGCAATGGTTCTCATTGCATGTGAGAGTGATGTCATATACGTTGCATCTACATCTTAATTTTGGCTCACGATGGGTTAAGCTAAGTTGCATGAACACAATAGAATCATTTGAATTGTAATTTTTGTTTATTTGCTTATAATAATAAAATAAAATTGAAGTTTCTTACTTCATATTAAATTTGCTAATTCAGGTTCCCAGGCTCCCTTGGATTGTCCAGGTGGTCAGTACTGCCAGACCCCAGGGTTGGACACACCCACTGGACTTTGCTCCCAGGGCTATTACTGCATGGGCACATCCTCCTCCCCGACCCCCACTGGAAACATCACAGGGGACATCTGCCCTGCTGGGTTCTACTGTGAGGTGGGGTCTCAGTGGCCAACGCCCTGTGCCCCAGGGACCTACAGCCCCAGTGTGGGCAATATCAATGTGACAGACTGTGTGGCTTGCAGCTATGGGGAGTACTGTGCTAACTATAGTATGGTAGAGACTTCAGGTAAGGCTGCAGACAGTGGTACTGGTATATTGGTATAAGTTGCAAGGAATAAACATTTGGAGTTGTAGTGAGGTACTGTTTGTTAAGAGACTTAATGGTTTGTTTGCACAATAAGTAGCACAAAGTATATATAGTGGACAGGCAAGTTTTTTATGTTCAATGGAGAGGACAGTTTTAGAATTTTTTGTATTCTCTGGCATTGGGTTCTTTTCTGGCATAAAACCAACAAATATTCCATTTCCCATTTTGTTCAGGTAACTGTACAGCAGGCTATTACTGCCCACAAGGAGAGCGAACACCTGACCCTTACCTGTGTACTGTCGGTCACTACTGTCCAGAGGCCAGCTCAAGCCCTGTACTGTGTCCAAGTGGAACATACCAGGACCAGACTGGTCAGTTTGGATGCAAGACCTGTCCTAGTGGATACTACTGTGATAACAGCTATGGAGTTGTGGTCATCAATGAAACCATCACCTGTCCAGCTGGCTACTACTGTCTGGATGGTAAGTTTCATAATCATACTATTTTTTGTTTGTTTGTTTGTTTGTTTGTTTGTTTGTTTGTTTGTTGCGCAAAATTTGTGTATTTATTTCGTTAATTTTTGTAATTTTTTTAACCAATTTTTTTATTTTGATTTCAGTAATTTCTTATTTATAATTAACTTTTTTTCATTGGGTAAAGAGAGTACACCTTTCAATGTTGTTTTCACCACTTAAACCACAAACAACCCATAATGAGTAATTTTATTTTGGGGCCAAGTGTTTAATAAACAGATTATATTATTTTTGATAAGACAAATAAATGATAATTATTTTTTCTCAACTAGGTACACCAAGAGCAGACACATACCCCTGTCCTTTGGGAACTTTTGGCAATGACACAGGTTATAACAGCAGTGGCAACTGTAGTCCTTGTTCAGGAGGAATGCACTGTAGCATTGTGGGAAGGACTGCACCAGTTGGCCTCTGCACCACGGGTTACTACTGCAGGCAGTATGCAGAGTCTGCCACACCCAATCAGACCACAGATGCTAATGTCTGTCCTCAAGGTTGGTGTTTATGTGTCACCTGTTATAAACTGGTAAATTATCATATATATCAAAATTAATCAAAACTGATTGATTTTAAAGTGCTGTACTGGAATTTCAAAATATGAAAACCACAGCTTTATTTTTTGGGAACATATTTGATTGTAGCTATTAAAAGTCATTTTAAGTTGTATCATGTGTTTGTAGTGCAATCATTTAATTTTTTTCTGAAGGAATCATTCTCTCGAAGTTTTAGTGCCACTTAATTTTTTTCTTAATCATCTAAAGGAACAGGTAATCATAGAACTTAAAATGTCTCTTTAGGCTCGTATTGTCCAGAGGGCACTGCTGAGCCAGTTCCATGTCCACCAGGAACATTTGGTGGCACGGATGGGTTACGTAACAGTTCTGAGTGCACCCTGTGTCACCCTGGCATGTACTGTGAACAACAGGGACTGCTTAATAATGAAGGTGAGATATGACCCTCTTGCATATTCGTAGAATGGCATTTTTCTTTGAATATTAGTACATAATCATACCAAGAATAATTATTGATACTTTTCTGTCTCTGATTCATGATTATTATTATATTTATCACTTGATTTTTGTCGTGATGGTGATGAAGGAAAGATTGGAAAAAAACTGATGAAGAACTGAGAAAAAATATTAATTAAGATGTCCAGACATACCAAGAGACAACATTAACTTGTTGTAAATGATAAAACAGTTTCTCACTATGTGATCTCTCTCTCTATAGGTGACTGTAAAGCGGGCTATTACTGTGAAGAAGGGTCAGTATCTTCCAGAAGTGCCTTGTGTACCTTGGGTCACTACTGTCCAACACAGACAGCTGTACCTTTCAGGTGCCCTCAGGTGAGTTAGAGTAAGGGTCAGTATTGTCCACCTTGGGTCAGTCATCACTGTGCAACACAGAGAGCTGCTGCCATTAAATGAGTACTTTGATATTTGAAAATAATGGCATAACATACTATTAGCATAGACAGAGGGATGGACAGACAGATAGATAGTGTAAATGTAGCTAATTTAGGATATAACGTACAATTTGGATATTTTCAGAATATTGACTAAAGATTTTTTTCTGTACTTCAGGGCACTTTCAACACATACTATGGTCTAAACAGCAGTGAGCAGTGCACACAGTGTACTCCAGGCCAGTACTGTGGTGACGAGGGACTCAATGTGACCTCTGGCCCCTGTGAACCAGGATTCTATTGTCCAGGCGGCCAGAATGACTCCAGACCAGCAGACTACCCCTGTCCAGAGGGTCACTACTGTCCACTGAACTCTTCCCAGCCCACACCATGTGCTAATGGAACTTACATGAATCATACTATGGCACCAGAATGTTATATTTGTGATGCTGGATGGTGAGTTGGTGCTATTGTTATTGTTTTTGTTGCTGTTAAAAACTTTGCATGGCTCTCTTAGGGCACAATAGAGGTTAGGTTGGGTTGTAATGGTGTTACTCTTAAAACATTGAGAATATCCATTTACTGCTGTTTTTATCCACCCATCTAAACATGGGATTTTTATTTGACATTTATATCCAGATTTAGTAGCTTATAGAATTTCTTTAATTCATTTATTTTAAATTTTCTCAAAAGACTTGTATGAAAACACTTGTTTTATTCTCTAAAGATTTGCAGAAAAGTTTATCTTTTTTAGAGATATCTTAATCAGTACTAGTCAATTAATATTTCCATCATGCTTGTAGCAAATTATTAATTATTTGAGCCCTTTTTCTTACCTCCAGGTACTGTCTCCATGGTGACCTAGTACAGGCATGTCCAGCTGGCTACTTCTGTCCAGAAGGCACTGGCATTGACTGGCAGCCATGTCCATTTGGTACCTACAGCAACCAGACTGGACTGTCCAGCACTGACCAGTGTACCCCTTGCACAGGGGGCTATTACTGTGACCAACTTGCTGCGACGTCCGAGACTGCCCAGTGTGATGCAGGGTACTATTGTGAGTATGGAGTGGACAGAGCAAGACCAACTGGAATTGCCAATGCCACACTGACCAATGGAACGTGCCAGATGCCAGGTGAGGAAATGAACTGATATGAGTTATAGTTTATTAATACTTTGAAATGATATTCTTAATTTCTAAGAAAGAAAAAAGATTTATTTCAAATAGAAAATAGAATAGCACGTGGATAATTTTTAGAGTAAGCATTACTTGTCAAGTTTTTTCAAATTGAAATTAAAATCAGTTATACAAACCATCCCAAATTAGACTTTTATATAAAATATTTAAAGAAATTGAGTGTAGAGTACATGTGCAAATTACTTTGAATTAGTTTTCCCATATGTTTTATCTACTGCAGGTGGAGAGACAGGAGTTGGCGACATCTGTCCCCCAGGTAGCTACTGTCCCATTGGTACCACCCACCCTCAGGCTTGTGGTGCCGGTACCTTCAGCAACGAGACGGGACAGGCTCTCTGCCACCAGTGTCCAGAGGGATACTATTGTCTGGAAGGTAATCAAATGCTGCAGTTTCACTGAGGATCAGTCTAGAAGAAAAGGGGACATTTGAGTGGCATCTGTATTGCTCACATTTTGTGGGATTTTTGAGTAACTGTTATGTATTTCCATTGTTTAGAAATTCTTTGCATGCTTATGTTTAGTGTGTGTTATTATATTTGGAAACAAATCAGTTTATATGAATTTAGAACCTTTTGTTAAATAGTATTACAATTTAAATTATAAAGTATTGAATTACCTAGATCTAATCTTACAAAATTTGATTTCTTTCCCCTTAGGTGCTGTGGTCTATGAAAACACCGAGTGTCCACCAGGTCACTACTGTCCAGCTGGAACATCATCTGCCTACCAGTACCCCTGTCCAGAGGGCTCCTACTATAACGCCACAATGGCCCGCTCTCTGTCTGACTGTCTACCATGTCCAGGTGGTCAGTATTGTGAAAGACAGGGACTGGACTATCCAACTGGACTCTGCTCACCAGGTATATTTTCTTTGATTTCTAGTAAAATATCTCATAAAGGCTTTAAATCAAAATCTGTATAATTGAATTTTATTGATTATTGTTTGATAAACTGATAAATTTTTACCCCATTCATAGGTCTTTCAAGAAATTTCAATATAGGGCACCGTTTACAAAATTTTTGCTTAATTATCTTTTTCTCAGTATTTTCCTTTCACTTAATTTGTGATATTGTATAATTTTGCAGCATATGTACCTAAATAATTTCTTGGAGATTATAATATTATTATAATAATAGTCAAATTTCCCAGTGGCAATTGAAATAATTTCCACTTTATTTCTCAGGCTGGTACTGCAGTGGCAACTCCAGTGCAGCTAACACCACAGTGAGTGGTGGGCAGTGTCAGCCTGGCTACTACTGTCCACAGGGGTCATATGAGCCACAGCAGTGCACCCCAGGGATGTACTGCCAGACCCCAGGACTGGAAGCACCCACTGGAAACTGTTCTGCTGGTCAGTTGGTGTTATTTTTAAATCTATATAATTTGTTATATGATATGTGGTCAACAAAAGATATATTGAGTGTAGTCAGTACCTAGTAATATTGTAACCAATATATGGATATATTATTTATAACAAAATTTATGTTGTCTTAAGGGGATATTAGTAATAGAAAATAATATTTGAAGTTGAAACCTATGTAAGCAAAGAAGTTAGTATTTATTTTACTTATTTGGAAATGACAAGATAATTAATTGTTATTATTAGTTAATTTTTTCCTTTCTAGGATTCTATTGCACCCTGACTTCCAATACATCCATGCCAACAGATGGCGTTACTGGTAACATATGCCCACTTGGTCATTACTGTCCAGAGGGCAGCACTGCCCAGCAGCCATGTCCACCAGGAACGTTCCTCAATGTGACCCAACAGGACGAGGAGACGGACTGCATGTCATGTCCACTTGGTCAGTACTGTCCAGGCGGAGGTCTGGCTGTGCCAGATGGTGACTGCACTGAGGGCTACTACTGTCCAGGGGGAATGAACATGTCTACTCCCCATGAGTACAGGTTGGAGTTGTTTTTTATTTTTTATATAAAAAGTATTAGAATTGGCTGGAGGCTGTTTCACTCTGTGTTTGTTCATGATTTTTTCACCGCTGTCTAATACTTTTGAAAAGCAATTAGCTGCATGGTTATAAATATTAATTCATCATTTTTATTATATTTTCATTTATGACAATAATAAATTAAAAAGCAACACCAACAAATGCAACTGACAGTAGAGGTCACTGTTTAACCAAGACAAGATAAGTGATGCTTCTGTTTTCAAAAACATAATTTTAATATTTTATGGTCATCCATTCCAGATGCCCTGTAGGTCACTACTGTCCCACTGGAAGCGGGGCACCCATCAGGTGTAATAATGGAACCTACCAAGACCAGGAAACACAACCAACCTGTATCACCTGTCCCGCTGGGTACTTCTGTGACAACACCATGGCTATTGTTGTCCTTGACAACAGCACCACCGTCTGTCCCATTGGCTCGTACTGTCCCGCTGGGACAAGTTACAGTAATGAATTCTTGTGTCCTATTGGCACCTTCAACAACAGAACAGGTAGGTAGACTAAAAGGCAGTGTCATCTTACAACCAAGGCTATGGCATGTCATGTAATTATAATAATTAGAATAGCAGCATTCTAACATTATTGTGACATATGTACAGCTCTGTCAGGCACTGCCATATCCACAGAATTTGTACAAATTTTACAAATGTTTACACATCATCTAGCCTAATGCAATACTTATACACTATGCCCCATGTTTGCACAGTTTCATCTAATGCAATACATATATTTGGACAATTTTTGATACTCACAGTAACACACGGCCACATAAAACACAGTCATGATCAGCATTTAGCTAAATCTATGTATATTTATAGGTTTACAACAGGAGTCTGACTGCTCCCCATGCCTGGGTGGCTACTACTGTCCAATGCCTGGAATGGTCACTCCCACTGACCTCTGCTCCCCAGGATACTACTGTAGGCAGTATGCTAATATATCAGCCCCTGACCAAGGTAAGATATAAATGTATACAATTCATATTGAAATAAGCTTTAACTACATTATATGGCCTTTGATAATTTTGTAATAAGCTGCACATACCCATATGTACGTAGTCAAGATACCAAGATACCTTCTGCATGTGACATTGTAATATCTTAACTACTGTACAATACTGTGCTTTAAGTGCACTTTTCATAATGAAACGCTGTGATATATTGTTGTCTGGGTAGCTTTAGTGCTTACTTTTTATTATCTTGCATATAAACATATATATTTTGATTTTCTGCAAGGTATTGATGCCAATATCTGTCCAGCCGGCCAGTACTGCCCAGAGGGAAGTCCAGCACCCATTAACTGTCCACAGGGCAGTTATAGCAACACCACTGGACTCCATGCAGACACAGACTGCACCTTGTGTCCAGCAGGGAGTTATTGTGCTGACACAGGCATGACTAACACCAGTGGACCATGTGAACCAGGGTGAGTGTGCACTGGGGAGGTTCATTGCTTCTCATTATTGAAATGACCTGAAATTCAATACTGAAATCTTAAAGTTTAAAAATATTGATTCTTAAAAGCACAAAACTTATCTGCGATTGTACTCAAAAAAGTAATATATTAACCCTGATATCATCAAATATTCTTTGAAAACTAATACTGGTTTAAACAGAATAAAGTGATCTTCAGATAAGAATGAAATTTTTAAAGGCATTTTTTTACAAACTATTTAATTTGTTTGTCAAAAACATTAGCAAAAATGAACTGAAGAAACACACAAGGTATGATCACTTATTGTTGATTTTTTTTCAATTCTAGCTACTACTGTGAATTGGGGTCCTATCATTCCCGTAACATCACCTGTCCAGTTGGTCACTACTGTCCAGAGGGATCAGGCAGTCCCACTCCATGTCCAAGGGGAACCTATACCAACACTCTGGCCAATGTGAATGTGACACAGTGTGTGAACTGTGATGAGGGCACATACTGTAATGATACTGGTGAGTCTTCTCTAACACAATCACTATCAACATAATGTCACACCTAACACTGGATTCTCTTTTTATGCATTTCATTGCATGGGTTAAAATGAACAAACATTGTTATAGAGATATTGATGAGTCTATTTTTGTTTTTCCTATGCCATATACACATACTGTGACAAATACAAATTTAAATTGTGATTGATCTTTCTAATGAATTTGATTGGTTATAATTCAGGCCTATCAGCTCCATCTGGAAACTGTGACCCTGGCTTCTACTGTCCTGGTGGCAATGATGTGCCTAATCCTGTTGAGACACCATGTCCTATTGGTCTACACTGCCCTACTGGGAGTGGTCAGCCTGTCCCTTGTCCACCTGGGACCTTCACCAACTTGACCCAGATGTCTGAGTGCTTGACATGTCCAGGAGGGTTCTATTGTGTGCCTGAGGAGGTCATTCAAGGTAGGAACATGTACAGAACTTTTATAGTATGTGGCTATATGTAAATGACAAGTTGGAGAAAGGAATAGGTTTAAAGCTAGTTTATAGATTAATGAAATAATGTAAGACATAGGCCATTTATCAACTTCATTTTATCAGCTAATCGTAAACATAATTGTTATGTATAGAAATATAGCAGAAAATGCTACACACAGACAGTGCTAGTGTATGTCAAAGAATTTTAAATGAAAATTAATCATTGAATAATTAGTATTTATTCCTTTCTCTTTTCCAATCAGGCAACTCTAGCTCAGGGTTCAGACTATGCCCGCGTGGCTACTACTGTCCAGATGCCACAGGAATGAACTGGACCGGTTGTCCAGCTGGCACCTTCAGCAATGAACTTGGCCTAGAGAATGACACCCAGTGTCTACAGTGCTCCGCTGGTCAGTATTGTGACATCACCAACTTGACTGCACCTGCAGGGGACTGTGCCCCAGGGTACTACTGTACCAGTGGGGTAGACACACCCACTCCAGCTGGTGGCCACACGGGGACTGGGGGTATTTGTCCAGCTGGTCACTACTGTCCAGGTGGAACTGACCTCCCTATTGGCTGTTCCAATGGAACCTATCAGGTATTTTGCCACTTGGCCTGTCATGCTCTGAAGTTTTATTTCTATCTGCTTTATGCCATTGTGATATTTGTTGTTTGTAATAGAATTATTAAAAAAAGATAACTTGCGTGTGAATTTTGAAGTATAGGTTACCAAAGACAATAATCTACATGTCTGTGTATTCATCAGAATTTGATTAAACTTTGCATTGAATTACACATATTTATTTTTTCCTGTTACCAGAACCTGACCAACCAGGCTTCATGCTTGACCTGTCCAGCTGGCTACTATTGCCTGGCCAGCTCTGTCACCTTTGTTGACCAAGTGTGCCCATCTGGTCACTATTGTCCTGATGGTACCAGATATGACACAGAATATCCATGCCCACAGGGGACTTTCAACAATTTGACAGGTAAATGTCTCTTTCTCTCTCACACACTCAACACACACAAACATACACGATAGAAAGCTCCCTGATAAACCTATGAAAACGTCCAATGAATACCTGTAGTTGGCAACCCTTCTAAATTAGACAGCATTACCTGTTCCTGTGTAAAAATGATGCAAATATGTCTTTTTGGTCATTTCAGGATCAGCCAATTCCAGTGCATGTGTCCAGTGTACCCCTGGTCACTTCTGTGCCAGCCCTGGCCTGAGTGCCACTACTGACCAGTGTGACCCTGGCTGGTACTGTACTCTCCGTTCATATCTGGCTCAGCCATCCAGCCCTGAAGGTGGCGCCTGTGTACCAGGTAGGGAAACAGACCAGACATGAGGTTTTATTTAACATGTGTAAGATAAACTGTAAAAATATAGCTTCAGATTTATTCACATAGCATACTATAAAAAAATGTTGGTATACATGTCATACTTTTACCAGTTTGTATCAACTATTCCTTGAAATATGGTTTTTAATACTGCTTTTTTGCCACGTGGGTAATGAGGTAAAAAAAAAAAGACTTAAAATACTAATTTTTGAAAATTGTTACTTTGAAACCTTATTTTGTATTATTAGACATAAATTTTGAATGAAATATTCTAACCATGTTATCTAATCAGTGATAATTTTTTTATATTTATTGTTTCAGGTGAATACTGTCCCCGAGGCAGTTCTGCACCTATCCAGTGTGATGATGGCCATTTCTGTCCCAATGCCACCATGAGTTCCACAGCAGGCCTGTGTGCAGCAGGATATTACTGTATCAATGGCTCCATAACAGCCACACCAACAGGAGTAGGCGGTGAGTGATGACATAGCGCACAGGTTTTGATGATGTCTTGTCTTGTAATTATTCAAAAATCTGAATAGGTGATCTAATTCTCTGCTTTAAATGATACCATACATGGAGACAAACAATGTGACACATCTGTTTTGTGCATATATACATACCAGATAATGATTTTCAACAAAGTTAAGGATTCCCACATTGGAGATGTATTTTAGAATCAATCTCAATTGTTCAGCGGGCATTTGCTTCAAAGATTTTCACTTGACATTTTGTTTAGATGAAGAAAATTGAAAGAGACATGTCACGGTTCTGTTTAACAAAGATAAAATAGTGTCATGGTTCTGTTTAACTAATTAAATTTCCTATATATTTATATTTTTTATTATCCACATCTCAATATAAAATACATTCAAATATTGAACTTTCTTCATCTCTCTCTCTCTCTCTCTCTCTCTCAGGCAACCAGTGCAGTCCAGGCACATATTGTCCAGATGGCAGTTGGTACGAGACCCTGTGTCCAGCAGGCACCTACCAGCCCAGCAATGGAGCCACCAATGAGACCTGGTGTATTCAGTGCACCTCAGGGAGTTACTGTAATGACTCTGGGCTGGCCACACCCCAGGGGAGCTGTGATCCTGGTATGTCAGTTTTGCAACTATAGTATATGGGTATTTTTTCAAGTGTCAAGTGTCATGCATATTGTCCAGCATATTGTCATACCCAACACAGTGTTATACCCCTGATACAATGTCACACATTATTTATGGAGTATGCAGTTCAAATGATATGTAGACAGAGTTGTGTGTAAACCAGTGCATTACTTAGTACTGATGTTACACAGAAGCAATAGCCATTTAAAATGATATTATATAATGATCACCATCCTTTTGTAAAATCCTATTCAACACGAATAAGATATTTTTTATTGTCTTGATTTTTAAGAAACTAAACAGTTCAATTCCCCCCACAGGTTACTACTGTCCAGGCGGCCAANTCCTATATATTTATATTTTTTATTATCCACATCTCAATATAAAATACATTCAAATATTGAACTTTCTTCATCTCTCTCTCTCTCTCTCTCTCAGGCAACCAGTGCAGTCCAGGCACATATTGTCCAGATGGCAGTTGGTACGAGACCCTGTGTCCAGCAGGCACCTACCAGCCCAGCAATGGAGCCACCAATGAGACCTGGTGTATTCAGTGCACCTCAGGGAGTTACTGTAATGACTCTGGGCTGGCCACACCCCAGGGGAGCTGTGATCCTGGTATGTCAGTTTTGCAACTATAGTATATGGGTATTTTTTCAAGTGTCAAGTGTCATGCATATTGTCCAGCATATTGTCATACCCAACACAGTGTTATACCCCTGATACAATGTCACACATTATTTATGGAGTATGCAGTTCAAATGATATGTAGACAGAGTTGTGTGTAAACCAGTGCATTACTTAGTACTGATGTTACACAGAAGCAATAGCCATTTAAAATGATATTATATAATGATCACCATCCTTTTGTAAAATCCTATTCAACACGAATAAGATATTTTTTATTGTCTTGATTTTTAAGAAACTAAACAGTTCAATTCCCCCCACAGGTTACTACTGTCCAGGCGGCCAATCTGTTTCCAACCCCAATGGCCTTGAGTGTCCAGCTGGTTATTACTGTCCCCTGGGGTCCAGTACCTTCAGGATCTGCCCTTCAGGAACGTACCAGGACTGGACACAGCAGAGTTACTGCAAGTGGTGTCCACCTGGTTACTACTGTGATAACAGCATAGAGGCAGTGGTCAACTATACTGCTTATGTGTGTCCACAAGGTGGGTAGTGGCCAATACACTGACCACACTTGATATGTTAATAATAATAATAATGATAATGATAATATTTATTTGTGCATCTTTCAGTTGAATTTACTTGAGCTGTAAGAGTCACGGAGTGATAAAAGTAACTAAAACACATTATGACTTTGTCCATTAAAAACATGAAAGAAGGGTTCAATGATTGAAATCTTAATCTTAAAAATAGTTCAGTGCAGTTAAGTTTATACATTAAAATCTTTGAGCACCCTTGAGATGAATGTTTTTACAGATGTGACAGTTCTGAGTTTTGGAATATTAAAGCTCAAAGAGTGCCTTTAGATATGCATTTTTGAAATGAAAGTTAACACCATGCCATTATATATATTTCACAGCTTTTACTATTTTCATATTGTAGGTCACTATTGTCCTAATGCCACCCAGTCTTCCACTGAAAACCCATGTCCCATCGGCACTTTCAACAATGGCACTGGTCTGGGAGCTGATACAGAATGCAGTCCTTGTTCAGGTATATGCAAATAATGATAACATAGTACACAAGAAGTGATGCCATATTGCGCAAATGCTACCACAGGCATTTATGTTGCATATTATAGACACCCTACATAATGAACTGGGCGACCAAATACAGTATATTTAAGTAAATATTTCAATAAATTTTAAAGCTATTTTGTTTAAAACCTAAGAAAATTTGAAACTGACAGTGTATTTATTACTGCAGCAGAATATGATATGGAATATTGCCACTCATGGAATGTTTGATAGTCTTCTCATCATGTATGGGAAAATAATTAGTTTAAAATCCAGAACTCATTTCTTTTCCACAGTTCTCCAATTCACATAATTTGTTTTTCAAAAATCTCATTTTAGGTGGATACTACTGTCCATCAGGAACTGTCCTACCTACAATGCCTTGCAGTCCTGGTTACTACTGTCGCCAGGGGGCGCAGATGGCTGCCCCCAATCAAGTCACCAATGCGGATATCTGTCCAGCTGGTCACTACTGTCCAGAGCAGACCACAGAGCCTATCTCCTGTCCTGTGGGGACTTTCTCCAATGACACTGGGAATATGAATGTCACTGACTGTGCTCCTTGTACCAGAGGTGAGATTACTGTGATGGTTATGATTTCATCCATAAAGAAAAGGGCAATCTTGTTTTTAGGTTTACTCTTTCTTTTTGAGCATTTATTAGATACAGTCTGTGTAAATATGAAAACCACCTATCATAATCCAAACTTAAGCACTGATGCCTTGGGGTTTTTCATATAAAATGATCTTGCTTGTATTTTTTTTGCACATTGTCAGTTAGTCAATGGACATTGTAGTCATTGTAAAACTCATTATGGTAAACTTTTCATTTCATGGTTTTATGTTTTGGTAATGCTTATCAAAATATTAGATTATCTATGAATTATCTTTTAAGGAATGATTTTAAAAAATATATTAATTATCAGTTGATCACTTTGTAATCTGTTGATTTTTATTTCTGCCTTATTAATCTTTATTTAAGTGCCATTATTTTGTCATTTCAGGTTGGTATTGTGACCAGTTGAATATGACCGCTCCTACTGGTCAGTGTGATGCTGGTTGGTACTGCCCAGAGGGGTCAACCAGTGCACAGGAGGTCATATGTACTGCTGGGATGTATTGTCTGATTGGTGAGTGAAAACACATTATATAATGTCACGCCTAACACACTGTCACAAATAAAACACTGTCACTCTGCACCATTGAGTATATTACACAGCCAGAATCTTTCGATCTGTAACACAAGGTTATGCTTTAACAATGTTATTGTTGAATTTAAATGTTGGTTCAACTTAGAGTGCAGCCAAACATGATATTATTAAACTGCTAAAAAATTCTGTATTGATAACTAAGAAGCAAGTTGTTTTTCAGTAGACTAAACATATTTTTGTACCTAACATTTCAACCCTTTCTCAAAGGGCCTCGTTCAGGACTGATTTATCAATGTCCAGTATTTATTACAACGTATCCATGCCCTGCAAGACTATGATATTCATTCTGTTAAATCCATTAAAAAAATTACATGTATATATTAATTGACCCTACAAAGATGAAAACAGTATGTGCTGCAGATTGTCATATCAAACTATAAGGCTACCCACTCTTAAATTCAGTATTACTAAGTGAATTTTGTAAGTTTTAGCAGGTATACAACAAGACTAGTACAATTTTATTCATTTTTTCTTAGGCACCCACACCCCGACACGTTGTCCTAACGGCACCTGGGCCAACAGCACAGGTCTGGCTGCAGAGAGTGACTGTACCCCATGTACAGCAGGGTGGTACTGCCAACAGAGTGGACTCACCTATCCAGAGGGACTGTGCCAGCAGGGATACTACTGTCCACAGGGTGAGGAGAGAGATTGCATTATGATATCCAGCTATGAGATTTTTCTGACTATCAGTGGATTTCTGACTTTTTCACTAACTAGCAGTCTTATCTCTGGATATCACATCTTATTTCTTTGCTTAGAAGTTTGGTTGATATATTACACATGTTGTCATCCCTGTTTATAAACAAATCAGTCACCATCCAGAAAACTATAATGCTACAAAATGTTACATAATTTTATCAAATACAGCACATTCTGCAAAGCATTGCATTGCCAGCAATTTTTATTTAAAACCAAAGTAACAATTTAAAAAAACAGTTGAAATGATACACATTATTTTCCTGAAATTATGACCCACTGAGTTCTCACAATTGACATTTTTCTTGAAATAATTATACTTAATATTTAAAGTGAGTATATTTTGCCATATGTTTCAGGTTCCAATGTGCCCAACCCAGAGCTGTGTCCCATTGGTCTCCACTGTCCAGAGGGGTCAGCCACACCTCAGTCCTGTGCCTCTGGCTACTACACCAACCAGACAGGGACATGGAGCTGTAATATATGTCCTGATGGGTGAGTCTGAGTTCAAAACTAACTATTATTTATTATGAGGGGTATTCCGGTTACCAATTTTTGATTAAAGGTAACACCTTGAAATTATTGAATATAATCATTTTGATTTTTTTTTTTTTTTTCAAATTTGAGTGGTGCCTTTTTTGTTATGACTGGTGAAAGTTATTTGAGTTATGCACCTTGATCACGTTTTAGCTGAAGTATTCCTTAGAGATGTTACTATTTATAACATTCTGTCAGTCATGTTATCGTACCAAAATTGATGAAATTAGGTTATATTAAAGAGCTTTTGGATTTTTGTGACTCCAGATTCTTCTGCCTACCTGAGAATGTGACAGCAGGTGACCCCCAGTCTGGTTACCATGACTGTCCAGCTGGCTACTACTGTCCTAATGGCACAGGTCTTAACTGGCTGCCATGTCCACCTGGGACCTACAGCATGCAGACTAATCTGTTCAGGGTAAGAAACACCTGTTATCCCCACCTGACATAATGAATTGTTATATTTGATACACTGCTAAATTTTACAAAATATTACTACTGACACTGTGTTTTATAGTACATACAATATCAGATTGGAGCATGGTTCCTTAGTGAAATGTACGGTATTTCTACTAAAAAAAACAATCTCTTCCACCAGGTGGAGCAATGTCAAGACTGCGATGGAGGTTTCTACTGTGGCACCTGGGGTGCGACAAACATAACCGCACCATGCGCCGCAGGCTACTACTGCGAGTCAGGCGTGGACAGACCCAACCCAAACAACGCGGAGGTGAACAGCTCCTACGCTGCTGACTGCCCACTGACTGGTGGTCATACAGGGTTTGGAGATATATGTCCCCTGGGGTACATGTGTCCTGTGGGGAGTGTGGTGCCCCAGGGATGTGACCCAGGGAGTTATCAAGATGAGGAGGGGACTGATTACTGCAAGGGATGTGTAGAAGGTGAGAAGCCAACATGTGAACTATTTCTTACTCATATGATATACAAATGTGATTTTTTGTTTCAGTAATTGAATACTGAAGGGTAGAACCTCTGTAGTTGTTCAGGCTACAGTAAAAAAAAGAGATGTGAGACTTGATAAAACTTCTCAACTTCTTTCAAACTCTTCTGGTTAGTTGTGTAAGTAAACATTAAAAAAATCTCAAACAGACACAATGCAGGCCCGTAGCCAGCAATTTCAAAAGGGGGGTTCTTTTTTTGAAAAAGTTGACCGTTTCCCATAAAAACTTCATGTACCTAGATCAAATTTTATCCAGAGTGGACCTTTTCCCAGCAAAAGGGGCGGTTCTTTTGAACCCCCCAAACCCCCTGGCTACGGGCCTGCAATGAAATGAAAAATGTTTATTGCTTGTTATGAAAAAATTATCAAATTTTGTTCCATCAACATAGGTTACTACTGTCCACAAAACTCAACAACCTATGCAGACAAACCATGTCCATCTGGTCACTACTGTCCAGTCAACACCACTCGGGACAATGAGAACCCCTGTGCACAAGGCACCTTTAACAACTTGACTGCTCAGGTCTCTCTGGATGCTTGCCTTAACTGTACACCAGGAATGTACTGCCTGGGCACTGGGCAGAGCTGGCCAAAGGACAACTGCAGGTATAGTATGTGTGTGTAGATGTGTTTGTGTATGCGTGTTCATGTGTGCATGTGCTTGTATCTGTGTGCAAGGCCTTGATTGTTTTACACAAACAGGCTTTGTGTAGCCCTTAGCAAAAAATAACTTATAAAATCAGAAAATATATACATTGTAGGACTTACTCCAAAATTTATACTTACTGTTACCAAAATTTTGATTATTAAAATTTATGAAACCCTTCATAACATTCATTCAATTTTCATGTTGAACTTAATTTTTGATCATTTTAAGGCACTTTTAATACATACCTATTTATCTAAAATTGGATAAATGTTTACTTCCAGTGATGGCTACTACTGCACTATAGGCTCTACCAGTCCAATGCCCAGTAATGCAGCCGAGGGTGGTCAGTGCCAGCCAGGCTACTACTGTCCAGGTGGTACGGAGGTACCCATACCATGTGATGCCGGCTTCTACTGTGATACCCCAGGCCTGGCTTCTCCAGCAGCACCATGTAATCAAGGTATGATACCAGCTTAATATGACCACTCCCACTGGTCAATATGATGTTTATTATAAGTACTATGTAATCAAGGAATGATGGCCAGTTGTTCAGAAGAATGTTTGTTATGAAAATATGATTTTTTTTTATATCAAAGGTAAATTGATTGTTAAGATTTGATGAAACATTCATCTTTTATTTATCACAAAGTGAAATGGTGAAAATATTATTATAGATACTAATATTATGTTATTATTTTTTCTTAATATTCTCTGTGTTATTTCAGGATATTACTGCACATTAGGTGCCTCAGTGGGCAATCCCACAGACAATGTGACAGGTAACATCTGCCCAGAGGGACATTACTGTCCTGCAGGGAGCTCAGCACCACAGCCATGCCTTGTGGGATACTATCTGAACTCTACAGGCAATAGTAATCCAACTGACTGTATACTGTGCACAGAAGGTAAGGGTTTGGATGTAGCCTTAGTAATGGTGCATTTATCTAGAAGTATTTTTGTGGAAGATTATATACAAAGTGCTAGTACCTCTTTCACATCCTCAGATAATCTCAACAAACAAAATCTAAATCAATATTAACAACAGAGAGGCACTCAATCTGAAGAAATGAGGACATTTCTACTTTAATGCTGTACAGAGACTACTAGTATGCTGTTTTGTTGCCAGATTTGCTATGACTACATGTACAGTTAACCCACTTAACCCAGACTATATGTCATATTTAGTGCAATACATTATAATACCACACTGAAAGCCTTGTTTCTGTATATATATATAGGCTGGTACTGTGGGGGAGAAGGTCTTGCTGAGCCCACAGGAATGTGTCAACAGGGCTACTACTGTCCAGCTGGTCAAGTGACCCACTCTCCATCAAACTACACATGTCCCGCTGGTCACTTCTGTCTCACTGGTTCACCAACTCCTGACCCTTGTCCTTCTGGAACATATCAGGTAATCTTTCTTTATTTCAGAGGTGAAATTCAACTGATTATTGTTTCTGATTAAATTTTTAAAATATAGTATACATATTTGTTGAACATATTTATCTTTTGTTTGTGTAAAAAATACATTTAATATGAAAACTTGTTTTTAAATGCTAATGATGTATGATTTGCTTAAAATGCATTGAAATATTTGAATAACATGTACAACTGTACTTAAGGAAAGAATATACAGATCAAATAAGTTACAATGGAAGGGGATTTTAGACTTTATTGGGATTATTTTCCACAATAATCAACATTGAAATAAAAAGGAAAACTTATGATTACACAGGTACTTACGTAAATTTATGCTTTTTGTAACTTTGTAGGACACAGAGGCAGCATGGGATTGCAAGGTCTGTCCTGACGGCTTCTACTGCAATGCCACCTATGGTCCAGTTGTGTACTATGCTGGCTATGTGTGTCCTGAGGGTCACTACTGTCCAAATGGAACACAGCATGCTAACCAATACCCATGCCCTAGAGGAACCTTCAGCAATGCAACAGGTGAGAGAGAGAATAGTTTTTGGATACTTCTTTGTGTGGAAAGAAAGGGATAAAGGGAAAAAGTAAATCAGGGCCATAGCCTAGGGGGTTCAGGGGGTTCAAAAGAAGCCCCCTTTTTGCAGGGAAAAGGTCCTTTCTGGGTAAAATTTTTTCCAGGTACATGAAGCTTTCATGGTAAAATGTCCACACTTTCAGAAAAAGAACCCCCCCTTTTGAAATTGCTGGCTACAGGCCTGTAAATGAAATATGGCTGGCTAGTAGGGTCAAGCCGTTGTGCATGACGTAATGGGCAAGCCATCTATGTGTGAAGATTACAGCCATAGTTTTGAAAGCTTGGGTTAAAGGTTTGGAAAATAAAAGATAGGGAGAGGGTGTTGGGAACAGGTTTGAACTGTTGAACACATTCACATTGCTGCAAGTTCTGTTCACATGGTGCACTTTTTGAGTTACTTATGCCACATTTTGTACACCAAAGATAACAACACCAAACACTGCATTTTATTACACTATAGGGCTCAAGCTAAGTATTTGTGATCTTCACCAATGGCTGAAGATTTATCTGACACAGGAAATGCTTGTGTCTTTTTCTCTGTTGCCATTGAATTTGCAAAACATGCATATGTGAATGAAAGACTTTGGACTATAAAAGAAAGACAAACCACATTGGACCAAGATACAGGGGCTGTTACATATTTCCCCCTATCTTAAGATGTGGTTTAGTACATGAGATTTGAACTTTCACTTTCAGTTTCTAGTATCATGTTACATGTATGTGTGTATGTAATTTTAAATGTTGTATCCACAGGCCGCGGGATGAGAATGTCAGGTATTTATATGTATACTGGTGCTGGTAATGGTGTGTAACAACACATTTTTAAAATAGTCAATGTTGTAATAAATATAGACAATTTAATGTGTTTTAAGAAAAATATATTATTTGATGTTTTTGCTGTGTTTTTTATTATTGTTATTATTATTATTATGCACTTGTTACTTTGACTGTGCACTACTTATTTTAGTTATGTTGAATAGCCAAAAGAGTTATTTTGCACTCAGGATTTGTGATGCCAGATCTAGGTTTAAATACAACTATTGCAATGAAATAATACATAAATACCCTGTATGTACAGACACATAAACATTGTGTAAATGTTATTTTTAAAGGTAGTTTATTGTTTATATTATAACTGCATGTTTTGTGTTTTTCATTATCTTTTCTCCTCATTGATATTTATAACTGCACTGATAGTTGTTAATGTTATATATCAAGTGTAACAAATAGGAAATTGAAAGGGAATTGTACAGTACCTGCACATAGATAGAGGATAATGTTATTATGTTGTTAACCAGAATTTGTAACTCTTGACTTTGGATTTGATATAAAGCTGGATTTATTTTCAGTTTGTAGATAAATTGATTGTTGTCATCTTAAGATTACCATGAACATTTCATTCCAAGCTTAAGTTAAAATATATCTTCCTTCATTTGCTGTAACCCTAATAGAGAAATTCACCTGTTTGGCAAAAAGAAGAAAAAAGATTAAGATCCATATTTTGATAACTTCTTTTATATGTTAAACTACACATGAGAAAAGGTGTAATTTATATTTGCAATTTAGATTCAATATCTTACATGTTTATAATTATAATGATATATGTGTATTCCAGGCTTGGTGTATGAGGCAGACTGCACCCCGTGTACTGGAGGTATGGCTTGTGATGTGGAAGGCCTGATAACACCACCCAGGCTGTGTTCTGCAGGGTACTTCTGTAGACAAGGGGCCAACATGACAGCACCAACACTAGGTAAATTGATGGCTTTGTTTCAGTATTTAGTTCTATTAACATATGCCTTAAATCTCTTATGTGTTATTAAAGATATAGGTTGAAATTTCAATTAGTATTAATACTAGCATATGTCATCGATCAAATGTTTGTCTTTTTCAGTGTGGCATGATTAAATAGATAATTAGCCTTGGAACTTGACATTAATTTTTTTTAATTTCACTATTTTCATCAGTGCACAAATTAAAATTAACTAATAATTGATTGTCACTAAGTTGTGATATTCATATTTACCTTTTATTTAAAACTAAAACATTAGATGAATTGATCATGCATTTATTATGTGTTGCAGGTGCTAATGCTGATATCTGTCCAGCGGGCAGTTACTGTCTAGAGGGAAGTTCTGCCCCCATCCCCTGTCCAGAGGGTACTTATGGCAATGCCACAGGCCTGACCCAGGAGGTAGAGTGCCTGAACTGTACAGGAGGGAACTTCTGTAATGAGACAGGTAAATAGCGGCTCCTTTCAGCTTTCTATAAAAATTGTCCCATTAAAGACAACAATATTAACACATTGCAAAAAAAGCATGAGATTCTGTGCACTGAAGACATTAGGATATTTGTTATTGATAGAAAGAATTTACTTTAAATTTTAAAAATTGACACATCGAACCAAGTGTCAGAGATAAGTTAACATATTGCTGCATCTAACACATTGTCACACCTATCACTTTGTCAAATCCAACACTATACCACACTCCACGCACTCAAGATGAAGTGCCTATTAGATATATGAAAATGACAAAGCAATATGACATTTCACCCTTTAAATGCTCCCCCAAATACACCATATCCTTATTATGTTAATGTTATTATTACATTATTCTATTTATAATGAATGGTATATCAATTGTGGTGTCCATCTCCAGGCCTGACAGCAGTGACTGGTCCATGTGACCCTGGCTTCTACTGTCCAGAGGGCTCAAGAAGGGCAGACAGTATCATCTGTACTGCTGGCTACTACTGTGGTCAAGGTACCCTTGACCCCATGGCCTGCCCCAATGGAACATTCTCTAATGCCACTGGCCTGAGTGTTGTCACCCAGTGTACGGACTGTACAGAGGGATATTACTGTAATGGCGTGGCATTGATAGAGCCATCAGGACCTTGCAGTGCAGGTTTGTAGTACTGTTTATTTGCCTGTGTTGCTTGATAATATATTGCTGTCAGTAAAGGTATTTCAGATGAATGTTATTAATGAATGTCAATTAAAGAATGATTGGCTCTGGTATTTGATGGATTGAGAAAACAATAATTTTGTTTATCATGGTTGTTCAAAACTGCTTTTAATAATATTTTTTTGTACCACCTGCACATGTATGTTTCTATATATAAGATACATTCACCTACTTTTGGATATTGTGAGATTCTTATT